GCCCCAAGATAGACAGACTCAAACCCAGCAGTTCTCCTTTTGGGAATGAACCACCCCTAGGTTTAAGTCTTCCCTGAGGTCAAAAAGTAGAACCCTGGGTGTGTTGTTTTCAAGGTTGGACCTCCCTGGTGGGGTTCCTTCTAGTTTTCCTTCAAGCTAACCCTGAAAAGGGTACCCTGAAAGAAAAGACAGACCCGCATGGCTATCATCAATGGTGAAGAGCTTCTCGACATCATGGGTCGATGCTCTCAATCAGTTGCCTCTGCCGCCTTTGGATTCCACCAAGAGCTGTAGGGACAGGCAACGGAGGCGCTGGCTTTGATTACAGGTGCCTGAAGACAGCCTTGATCATGGCAATGGATAGAGAGAGAGAGAAAGAGATACTGCACTAGGGTGGTGTCATGTGGAGAGACCCCGGGTCCCTCGAAGTTGGGCTTGCTTTTTCGAAAGGTTGGTTTCTTTTTGCAGCCTGTTGCACATTGCCAGCTTTGGGCATATCCAGGCTTGAGACATAGTTACCAATGTCAATGTCTCCACATTTGCTTGGTGGGAGTTCAAACCGGGTTGGTTTGCTATGGTTGTTCTTGAGCAAAACCGAAGTGTGGCGACAAGAATCAGTGGCTAGTGCAGAAGGAAGGCACCGGCTGGCCTTTGCGACACAGGCGTCAGATAGGGCCACATCTCCTTTTGTCTTTTGACTTCGGAGTCTGCGGCCAATTTTAGGCCGCATGTACCGCCATTTGTGCCGTTTGAGAATTGTCCAGAGACCTTTGGAGTTTGGCCGTCTCGCTCGCGTGGCCTTGGATATGGGAACCCTGGCACACGCGTCGCGGAGACCATGGCACAGTCCACTGGACTCAGGTGATTTGCTGACCCGATCAATGCCCGCGAGGTATGTTTCACTTCCCCTTTCAGCAAGTGCACATAGGTGTCCTTTTGGGGGAAGAGATGGGTTTCCCTGGTAGATGATTAAACCACCAGGTAAACAAGGGGAACCCATCTATCTTTCTGCCAAAACAAACAAAAAGGACACCTATGTGTACGCCGCTTGTATGGGCTGGCTGGCAAGATAGGTGCATAGATGGCAACACCCCAGGATGTCACATGGGTTCATGCGCAGCTCTGAGCTTAAACTTCACCCAGTTACCCAGTGAAATCTTGTTTCTATTTTTCCTGGGGAGGGTTCCGATTCCTTTACAGTCAACGAGCCAACAAAGGATGCCCTTTTTTCCATGGCCACTGGGCATCTGAGTGCATAGCAATGATTGCTTCTTCTTTTTGTTTTTTTTTTTGGGGGGGGTTCGGGGTTTCCCACACATTCCATGCTTGAAACACTGAGTGAAAATCTCAGTTCGGCTACGAATGGAGACCCAAAGTTTCAGCAAACATCTGCCAGGTCTTCCTCCAAAAGCATGGGAAGCTTTCGGGCTTTCAAGGAATCTCCATGGCATGTCCTGGTTAGCTCTCTCCTCCAAAACGATCATATCTATATATATATACACATACATATATATATATATAATATTGGGGTAGACAAACAATATGGTGGATGGACAACATGCTGCACCAATTTAACAAATAATTTGAAACCACGGCTGAAGCCATAGCGTTTGTTGGCATTTACATTGGGGAAACAAATCAGAAACCTGGGTTTCTGAACGGTGGCGCCTAAGAGGCATTTGCAATCATCCGCGGTAAAAAACATGATTTGAACATCTAAACTTTTTTGCAGTTGCAGTGGTCCCGGAGAATATGGAAGATGTAGATGAGAGAAAGCGATTTGAAGCTTCTGGTGTTGGTTGAACGAACCGTTTGGGGGATTCCAGAACAAAGGACACCATCGTAGGTGAGATGGTTTTTCTTGGGTCATTCCGTTTCTCATCGAACCTGCCAAGAGCTTCGCCCCCAACCATACGATGGATGGTAGGGGGTCATTCCGTTTCTCATTCCCTGCCAATCGAACCAGCCCAGAGCTTCACCCCCCGAGCGACCCTTCGCCACCCCCCAAGCGCCGGAGGATGTCACCAGCATCCGCTGGGGCCAGTTTCCCGGAATGCTCACCTCGGTGGGCGTGGGCCACATGCGGCCGGGGGCTCGGCTGTGGCCCAGCCAGGGCACAAGCTGTCCAGAGCAAGTGCTTCTCTGGGCGCTTCCCAGCAAATCGTCCGGTCCCAGAAAGGTGTTTAGTGTTTTTGTTTGGTTGGTTTGGTGGTTGAATGTCCATTTGAGCCACTAAACGTTAACTTTTAGCAGAAGAGGATCAATGTCACATTGAAGCAGGAAGATGTGATGCAATGCCCACTGACAACAGAAGTTGATACCTTGTGACCATTTGATACTCTCAGTAAATCAGCGCTCGGGCCTGAGCCGGAATTTCTCCTTCCATCAAAGAAGTATCTCACCTGAAGGTCAAAGTCCATTTTGATTTTCAGGTTCCTTTCAATGGGAATTGGAGGTTCAACTTTCCTCTTGCCGAATCATCAAAGCCCACCTGAGCCGTGGGTTTTGGATTCAGCCGTTGAACAGCCCGGGGTGAGGGACATGGGCTGCGGAGAATTCCGCCCGCCAAGTCTCAATCCTTTTCATGGCTATATGTCCCTTGGTGGTTTTAAGCATCACCTTTTTGGCCCATGAAAGGTGAGTACCCCTTGGGGTGATGTTTGAAGGGGAGAAATCTAGGGAGCTCTGTGGTTCTGGGTAGTCGATTTTCGACCGATCGGTTTTGAGTGTGACTCATGTGCAGGATCCTGGCTAAACCAGGTCTTGATTCTGAGTACCGGCTTTTGATGACTCATGTGTGGACATTTGGTGACCCAAATTTCGTCACCAGGGGAAAACCCACATTGCCCCATCACCTCTCGGAACTCATGGTTGAGAAGATTACCGTGCAACTTTGGAGCTTGCCACAAGTGAACCTGGAGGTGTTTTCCCTGGTGCCTCAGTTTTTGATCCGGGGGTTGGATCCTAGGTCCCCAAGTAGGTGCCAACTTTTACCGTTTCTTTTTGGTTGGGAGGGTTCCCCTAAAATAGACGTCCTGAAAAGAGAAAGAAACGGTACCAACTTATTCTAACCAGTCGTTTCTGACTCCACTCAAGTGGCTGTGGCTCAAAATTAAACAGGAGGGGCCAACCGCAGGTTTTGGTTTATGTTTCCACTTGCCAGGGGAAGCCATTTTGGGGTACCGGTTTTTTGAGCCACAGCCGGCTGTGAGAACTCGAGTTGGGGGGTTGGATCTGAGGTTCTGGAAGATGGCGCTGACCTTCACAGGGCTCAAGCTCCAGGGAGACCTGGGCAAGGCGGTTGCGCGAGCGCGCGCGAAAGCTCGCGCAACTCCATATGCTCCGATCGGAGGTAAATGGAAGCTGAGTCTTCCGTTTTCGTGGTTGTTGTTGGGAAACATTTTTCCCATTTTTTGCTGATTGTGGTTGGGTGGTTGACATCCAACCACTTAACTGCCAATATTTATTTATTTTTTGCTCCCCTTCCAACGTCAACCAAGTTTTGGGGGTCCGTTCGGGAGCTGCCCATGGGGTTCGTCTGGAGGGTATTTGGCTTGCCGGATCTTTGGACTGTCTGTCCTTTCGATGAGACCAGTGCCAAAGAGAGCGGAAGCAGCAGCAAGCTTACAGAAGCGGCAAATATCCACGATGAAAAACAAGTGCTCCAGGAGGCAATAAACAATATATTCAACTCTTTATCTTCATATCAATATTTATATTTTATACCCCAACATATTAACAATAACATACAACAATGCTCATTGTCTAATAAAGACCTAATATGCATTGATGGAAATTGTTCTTTCATGGAAACTAAGTGTGAAATGTTCATCATACTCCCATACGAAAACAATAAACACTTTTCAAACAAATCCGTAGATTGTTTTTTGTGTTGTTGTTTCCTGATAGATCAAAGCAGGTGATGCAGGAGATGCTGGGGATTTCGGGGATGCATGTGATGCAGGTGAGGCAGGTGATGCATGTGATGCAACCAAGTGGACACATTCTGAGTTTGGATAGGTGGGGCACGACTGATCATCACAGTCAGGGCAAGTGCCTCTTCCTTGGGCAAGCAAAGGCGCTTGACCGTAACATCTGGCACTGAGACCGGAGAAGGGTACAGAATCTCTCAGAGGTTCATACTGTGGGTGGACGAAATCCACTTCGCACCACTTTGAAACCATAGCAAGCCATTGTTTGTTGGTATTTACCGTTGGGGAAGCAAATCACCCCACAGTTTCTTTTTTTGGGTGGTGCCTAAGAGGAGTTCGCAACCATCCACAGTAGTGGTTGGCTCAGTCATCCCTTTTGTGCCCAAAGGCTCATCGTCCACGGGGTTGGTTTCTCCATGACATGCTCAGTTGTCCAAATCGAATCGACCTTCTGACCAGTTCGCTTCAGAGTTTTGGCCCAGTTTTGCTCATGGCCCCTAAAAGGTTAGCCTTTTATTTCTGGGTTTTTTGGGCAACTGAGCATGTCGAATGATTTGTTTTCCACGCTCGCCGCTCAATGAAGGAAACCGCGTGTTTGACATAGTTGCCACATTTTGCTTGGAAATGACTGTGTTTCCCCACGATGCCAATCTCCCCTTTCCAGATATCAGGAATTAACCAGAATTCTCTACACAGTATCCCCCGACAACTTTTAGTTTCAACCCCCGCAGCCTGCAAAGTATTTGTTGCCCTCTCACCCTTCTCACCTGGAACCTGAGGTTCTTTTGGGGGTGACCAGTTTACTTTTAAGTGGACCATTTGCCGAATGCCCGGTTTTCCATGTTTTAATGGGCGGGAGGGTATGCACCCACGCATGACAGTCCAAGATGAGCCTTTGGAAGATCCCAACTTGAAGGAAATGTCCACGTCCCGAAGGTCAGGTTCCGGCTGTGAGATTCGGGTGGATGGTACGCAACCAGCTCACCGGCTTTTCCTTGTTTCCTCAGGGGCAAGGTCCTTGCTGGTGCGATAGGCAGGGCATGAGAAATGGAATGACCCGAGTATAAAACCATCCAACTGGCGGTTTCCTTTATTCGGGGTCCTTTAAGGGGACCAAAGCCTGGGTTCCCTTCAACTCTCATTTCTTGATGCCCTCGGAACCGGGCGCGCTTTTCGCGAAATGGCTGTGGGTCAAAATGAAAGAGCTTGGGTCAACCGCTGGTTTTTTCGTCTTTGGTTCCATTTACCCATAGTTCTTCGGTTTCTTTAGTCTTTGGTTCTTTGGTTTTAGTCCTTGGTCTTTTACATGTTGGTGATATTTTGGTGACATCCTCTTTGGTTTTGGTCTTTTACATTTCCCTTTGCCATTTTGGTCTCCATTTTGAGCGAGCAGCCGCCGCCTCCGCAGTTCGGGGCCTCGGAGCTGTCGGACATCTCGGGCTTCGTAGAGCTGGCGGACGGGAAGATCGTCTCGGGCACCGAGCGCGGGAGCCCGGGGGGTGGTGAAATGGGGCGAGCGGCGGATGGGGACAGGCGAGCGAAGACTGCTGAAGGGAAATGGAATACCAACATGGCTGTGGGTCAAAACCAATGGTACCATTTTGGGCTAGGTCTATTTCAGTGGGGATTGGGATGTTCACTGGGGGTATGGGCTTTTGACCCATACCCACATGGTCTGATATGTCTTTCTGAATTTTATGGTGATGTCCAGGTCAGGGGAACTATCAACAAGTTTCTTGTGGTTTGTTTGAGCGAACAGTTGTTCGATGTCCGGGTAAACTGTGCTGTTTGATGTGTGAGGGCAAGGCACAGCTCAAATTGGATCAGGTTCACAAGCTCAAATTGGACCTGCTCCTTTCCTGTCGGTCGCTGTTGCCCCGATTTCAAGGGAGACAGGTGTCGGCTGCATGCACAGCCACTGGCCAAACATGAATGAAGACCTCATCAGTTGTTTGTCAACAGCCAAAGTTGATCTACGCAGGAGGGTGTCTACGCTCTTGAAACAGACCTTGACACAAGGGCCGAGGGCACCACTTGGGATCCACTTCACTGTTCTTGGCAAGTTTCTTGATTTTGTTTCTTCTTGGTTCTGTGCAGGTTCAGCAGGGGGCTGCAAAAAGCAGTCCGTGTTGGCAAGCCCATAACCTGCCGGAAAAGTTAACACACACAGCTGTCCGGCTTTCGGAGGTACGGCAAGCTCCTGGTCTGGGAGGGCGTCTTCGTGAAGGCCCGGCGCGCGCTTGTGCGCAGGCGTTCAGGAGGTCGGAGGAGTCGAGAATGTATTGTCTGAGTATGGGTGTGTGTGTGTTGTTTTTCTTTTTTTTAGGGGGACCCCCAAAAGCGTTTTCAGCGGAGGTTAAGTCTCTGAATATGGGTGTTTCTTTTCTTAGGGGACCCTCCAAAATGGTGTTTTTTCCTTTTGGTTTTCTTTTTTTTGGGGGACCCCCCAAAATGGTGGTTTTTCATCTTCTGGTTTCCCTTCCACACCAAAAGGACACTCTGAAAGGTTCGACCGAATGTGGACCTGGAGGTTTGGCCCTGCGACAGGTGCGGTTCATGAGTTGAGGCTTCGCAGACCAGGCTGTGGCAACACCATGGGGCTCATCGATACTTCTTACCTCTTAAAAGCACAAAACTTTTCTCAACTTTTTGGGGGGAAACATGGGCTATATGTCTGTAAAAGATGAACACTTCCCCGGCTTGGAGTTTTAAGGGGTAAGATATTCCTGGTCCCCAAATGACCATGGCTAATTTTTCCCATACAGAAATATCATCTTACTAGTGGTCTTCCCCAATGGTCATCCCGTAAATGACCTTTTCATCAACGCCCACATACCTGACTTTCAATTTCTCCGATCAGACTTTCTCAAACCACACCAGGCTGAGTGGCGTCCCGGCTCTATCAAAGGCATTGAGACCTTGACTTGGTACCTTGCATGAGCTTCCTTTGGAAGCCACCGAAGCCATCCAAGCAAAGCCTCTTGGGTTGAGCACACTGTTCCAGCCCGGGGTCCCACCGTGGCTTTTCCTTGTCTTTCACCTCCCCTGCCGACCGAACTGGGTAACTCAAGAATCAAGAAACGGGGTTCGTGAGCTTAGGAACTTCCGAAATCACGAGCACTAGTTGAAAGCAATCTTGCGCAGAGACAAGATGAAAGACACAATGCATGCACGCGAGACAACGATAGATAGAGAGATGGATGGATGGATGGATGGATGGATGGATGGATGGATGGATGGATGGATGGATGGATGGATGGATGGATGGATGGATGGATGGATGGATGGATGGATGGATGGACGGACGGACGGACGGACGGACGGACGGACGGACGGACGGATGGTTCGCGAGATAGTTAGAAAGATTGAGTAGATTGAAAGGTAGATAGATAAGTAGGTAGCTAGATAGATAGATGGCTGGATTGCTGGATAGATTGCTAGGTAGGTGAACAGATGGACACTGATAGATGGACAGACAGATCGCGAGATAGATGGGTAGAAAGACTGCACAGAAAGGTGAATAGATAGACAGATACATAATGCATAGATAGATAGGTATGTAGGCAGATAGGTAGATAGGAAGATACGTAGATGGGCAGAAGTGTAGATAGGTAGACAGGTAGATGGGTAGATAGACAGGTAGCTAGATTCGATAGACAGCAGAAAGGCAACTAGATAGATACATAGATAGATAGATAGATAGATAGATAGAAGGTAGATAGATAGATGGAGAGAAGGAATGAGAAGGAGAACACGCAAAGATAAAACAGAAAGAGAAAGAGAGAATATTATAAAGAGAAAGCAACAGAGACAGATAATAAAAGAGGCAGTTTGCCGACACGCAGACAGGCAGGAAAGGAAGACAGCAGACAAGAGAAAGAGAAAGAGAAAAAGGAAGAAACAAAGAACGTTCAAGTTGAGAGGAAAGAGAAGGGAAAGATGAAGAAAAGGAGACAAAAGAGAACGAACAACAGAAAAGGACATAAAGAGAAGAGAAAGACAAAGAGAGCGAGAAGCAGAGGAATATAAATAGAAAGAGAAATAACAAGATATTAATAAAAAAGAAAGAAAGTAAGAGAAGGCACAGATAAATGAACATAGAACAACAAAGGGAAAGAGAGAAGGAGAAAACGACAGACACAGCGAGAGAAAGGGAGAGAACAACTGTCTTCCATTTGCTTAAGACAATTTTTCCTGTTGGTTTTAAAGGGAATCTATCACTGCTGGACATATTTCTATTTTTGTCCAGGGGTCTTAACCAAATCGAAGCTGAGAAAGAGCAAGACAAGTGGAGTCCTGTTATTTGCGAAGCTTCCGATCGGCTTCGCCGGCTCCACTCGCAATGTCTCGGAGATGTGACCATGGGTCAAAACCAATGGGATCCCATGTTGGTTGGTAGGTGCACGACCCATTCTCGGCTTTATTTTAGTGGTTGGATTGGGATGTTGACTGGGGGTACGATTTGGATTTTGACCCATGGCCATTTTGTTTCAAAGGCATATAGGTAAAGTCTGATAGCATGCGCGTAAATCTTTTGTCAGATGCTGGCAGGCATTCCAGGCACGCTAAATGAGTATGCGCTTCTACGCCCCCCCTCCCACCCCTAAACATAAACATCAGGGTCCGAGAAATATCATGTCCAGATTTCAGCGCAAGCTGCAGCATGTGTTCCTGAATTGTCCAACGCGCACACACCAAAAAAACATTTCACCAATAGTTGGGAGCAGATGCTTCAGCAACTGCTTTCTGTGCGCCCACCGCCTGTCGTATGACTGTGAGTGTGTGATTTTGGGATTCACCGGTTTGACTATTGGACTTTCAGCAATATTCATGTCCCATTTGACAACTGGTCTTTGTATGATGCTGACGCGAAGTGTCCAGTGGCAGTTGTTTTGATGGGTTTGGAGAGGTGGTTACAGGCGGACCCCTCTAAAACTGGAGTTACCCATTTTGACTGCACTGAGTTTCACTGGCCCCCCAAGCAGGGAGGGAGCGCTGCCCAGTCTTTCGTGGGGACCGCAGGTGGAGCTGATGCGCGCCAACGAGAGTGCCACTCTTGCGGAGGCGCCCCTGAGCATCGCGGGCAGCGGCTCGGCAGAGGGGCTAGAGCCATGTTTTTCTCGCTGCAATAGGCAGGGAATGTTCTAGGGGTACCTTCCCCATTCGTTCCAGGGATCCTTTTTTCTACAAAACCTCCGGAAAGCTAGGGAAAACGGCCGATTTTTTGGAAAGAACAATGGTTGGAAAGAAGGATGGTTGAAAAAACGGGGAATCAACCCCATAGAAATGTATTTGAAGGGAAACCCAACAACCAGTGCCATTTTAGAGGGATCATGGAGAAAGCCCTGTATATGGCTTTTAATCTCAGATGCAGGGAATGAGTATTGGAATGACCCGAATATAAACCATCCATCAGGTGGTTTCCTTCAAGGGGACCAAAAGCCTGGGTTCTCCTTCAAGGGGACCAAAAGCCTGGGTTCATTCCATTTCTCATTCCCTACTTATCGCACCGATCGCAAGTTCCTCCCCACCCGAGAGTTTATTTTCTTTTGAGGGACGTCGGGTTTGGGTCGTTCTTTGGGAGCTTCTCCAAATGAGTCACGTCCTCAAAATGCGGGTAGTTGGAGGGTAAGGGACAATCACAACCAGAAATGAGTGCGGAGTTCCGCCAGTTCAATTCTTTGCGTGGTTCTGGGTAGACCATTTCAATAAAGGGTTTGACTGTGACTGAAATGGGATTCGGACCAAGTTCCCTTTTGGTTAGGCGACCGAGAAGGAACCCGTTGCCACTTGAGGGACCGTCAGGCAATGTCACTGGTGGGCAACCCCACTTCCAGACTGATCTGCCAACCAGCGCCAGGAATTCTCGGCCCCAAGGCTTGTCCATATGGCTGTGGGTCAAAACCAACGGGATCCCATTTTGGTTGGTAGGTGCACCACCCATTTCAGTCTATTTTAGCGGGGACTGGGATGTTCACGGGGGGTACGGGGTTTTGACCCATGGCCATATTGCTTCGTACTTCTCCAAATCGTTTGATCAGAATTCTGTGGATTTTGACAGGCTAAGGGCTAAGGCTCAACAAATCTCCCTGACAATAGGGATAGCAGCAAGCCAGTCAGACAGGTCGACGCCATGCTGTGGTGGTTGAGCTCATTGTCATAAACAACTGCCAGCAGCATGTTACAATATTATAACGTGCATAAGACAGGCGTTCCAGTCACCTACCCATGGTAGGTACGCGGATTTGTTTGCCTCAGCGCCTTCAACATAGTCTATAGTCGTAAGTGGATGCTGGTTAACTCGTCCCTTTGCCATCGATTTGAGGTCCCCACAAGGGCAGCATCGATGTGGTCCTTTTGGACAAAGAGAATAGCCTCGTCGTCTCCGGTGGTGACGATGGCGGGGGCGATCGGCATGGGAGAAGGGGTGGGGTCGCAGTCAACTAATACAAGAAAGGCTTTCCGAAATCCCACAATTTGGCCAATGTTCTCAGAAGGGCAGTTTCACCTTGCAGGAGACTTCCCCTTCGCAAGGACGAAGATCAAGATATATTGGTGCATAGTGGCTCTTGACTTGCCGATCCGGACGTGGCAGTGTGCTTTGCGTAGTTTCCCTTGTTTGTGCTGCCCTTGTTCGGACTGAGAAATATGTTTGAATCATTGTTTGCGGAGGCCTATTTCTGGAACCCGGACTTGTGAGCGAGCCTTGCCCTAGGCTACCTTCGGTGGTGGCCAATCGACGAGGTCGACTCAGCAGAGGCTGACTACGACAATGGCATCCTCGAGTGCCCACTGCGTTTTCGGGCCTCGAAGGAGATGCTTTGGACATGTCCGGGTTCCATTTTTGTTTTGATTCTCCCACTCGATTTTGATTTTGCCACTTTGATTGTGCCACTGGAGCCACTGCATGTGCCACTTGTTTTGATCGTGGCTGGCGGATCCTAGTGACTTACATTGCGGTGGCCATACAGTGCCCTTGAGCCGAAAGGATCTGACCCGAAAGTAACTTGGGTCAAAAAAGTGTCCACCGCATTCGAGATCTTTGCGGCAGGTCCAGGAAGTCCACTTCCAGCTGCTGAAATGAATCGTTGTTTTTTGTTTGTTTCTCCTTTTTTTCCTTCCCCTTGTTGCTTTTCAAGTTGGAATCTATTGCTAGTGGATATGGGTGTGGCTCAAAATTAAACAGGAGGGGTTACGCAAGTTTTGGTCCATGTTTCCACTTACCAGGGTTCCATTTTGGTACCGGGTTTTTGAGCCACAGCCATATGTTCTCATGTTTTCGAGGGGCTGAATGAAGCAAATGCAATTCCAGTTGCCGTTCTTCTCCCGCGCTAGGTACGGCATCCGCATGCGCAAGGAGGTGCGGATCCCGCCGCCGCGGGCTCAGGAGAAAAACCTGCAGAGATGGTATTTCCCACGTGACAAGTTGCCCATGGTCTTTTTGGGGCCAGGAATGTTGATCAACTTTCATTTGGACCGAAGGCAGTGGCCAGATTGACTTCGAACATGCTTTGAAAGACAACTCAGCGAATTCGATATTTGATTTCCCAATATGGGCCGTAAAATCAACACCCAAGTTACACGGCCCTTGACTTAGACATCCTGGATAGGCCACAGCCTCGACTTACTGAGTGCAATTTTCATCTCGCTTTTCTTTTGCATGACTTCGTTCACCAGAAGGGTGACCTCTCTCCCTGAGTTCCTGGACTTTAAAGCTTTTTGGAAGACCATGAAGACTGATTTAGTGGCAACCAAAAAGTTTTCGGAGCTTTTTTTTTGCCAAGCCAATCGATGTTGAGCTAAGGAGCAGCGAGCACAACATTCCCGTGGCCCACATCCAGCACGTGGTGGTTTGCCAGCGCCTCAGCGAGAGGCGATCGGCGATCCTCAGTTCCATTTGCTGAAATGAATATATATATATAAATAATATGTATATATATATATACATATGTGTATATATATATATATGTTGTTTGTTTTGCCCCAGTTGTTTTTAGGCAGCCAATGGAATCTATCACTCGTGGATATTTTTTCTCATTCTTTCCATCGGACCTTAGCAAATGGGGGAGTATGCCAGGGTGAAAATACCAGGCACCGGGGCACCCATGGCTACCATAGCTCCAACTTGAAACTCCGATGGCAGTTTATAAAGCTACCTATGTACCTCCTATAAAGCTACTTATGTAGCTCCTACTTATGTACCTCCACAAAGGGTATCTGCAGAAAGCTGGGATGAAGACATCCCTGTCTCAAGACTCACGCTCATTGGACCCGACATCACTGAGCGCTTTCCCAATCCAGTTTCCAATCGCGGCAGCTCCACGCAAGTGGAATAGGGAACTGGGGATGGTGGTTTCCCGCGCCGGCTGCGAAGAGTCGGCCAGTCACAAGCAAGATCTGCCGGCCAGTAGCACTCGGCTTCTTTGTTTGTGCTCTGGCACAAGCATAAGCAAACAACGGCGCAAACTAAAACCTGGCAAACACTCGCGTTAATGTGGGAATGCCACAAAACAAGGAGCCCTTTCATGGAGCCACGTCTTCAGAGGTCCTGCACGTTCGGCAGGCATTTCTGTGCGCCGTTTGGCCCAGCCATAGGCTATTCATCGCAGCATCTCGGAATTTGACTTGTTGATCTTGTCAGCCTAGGACATGGTGCAGCCGTCTTTTTTGATGGTGAACTTGAATTCTTCATTGCAAGGGGCCAGCAGCGGCCAAGTGAGCAAAATATTCTCCTTTTCATCCCTCGCAAGATTGGGGTTTGGGGCCTAGTGCTCCAAGGAACTCAAACACAGGTCGCCTGCCAAAGGAATCAGTCAGTTGCTCATTCATGCTATGAATTTGAATAGGGAACCACCTCCGAAGTGGTTGGTGGACATGATTCCCCACCAAAAAGATGTCCACCAAAGGGTCTAAAGGGTCCCTCACTGCAATTCACACCCATGTCACGGCTCCGATCACACACCCAGGCCCAGACGAGGTTACCTGGCTGATCCAGGACTGACGAGTTCTGCGTCTCAGCCCTGGCAAATAATTTGTGGTTTGTGTTTGCGTGTTTGCATAGGTCTTGTTTGAGGGGACCCCGAAAATAGCTCGGGTTTTCCTTTTGGTTTCCCTTTCAAGCCACAACAACGGGTTACCCCCCCCCAACAAAGAAAGAGACGCCCATTTTGTTGGTGGCGGCTGCTTCTGTTGGTTTTGGCTTTCTGTGTTGCGACAATTTTTCCTGCCGACGGAAGAGCAATTTGAACCTGAAGCCCAAACAAAGCAGATAACATGTGGGGGTGGACCAAAAGATCCGGTAGACAAGGGATGACCATTGGGGGAAACCACCGAAAAGATTTGATATGTCAACCACTAAACGGGAAAGTTACCCATGGTGAGTTGGGGGCCGAACGGAATATTGATCAACCATGTGACAAAGCAACCACTCCGCATTGTCCGCCACAACTTCGGAGTCCGCAAGAACCGCAAGTTCTTCACTGCCCGTGCTTGGAGCATGAGCGCCGGGCCGGGCATGTCAGTGTTTGGTTGTTGGTAAAAACATGTGGGTTTTCAGGATCCAATGTAGGTAATGAATGTCTCTCCAAATGGAGGGCCCCTCTTTGGTCGTCAATCCATCTGTTAGGGCCTCCGATTTTTGAAAACATATATATATATATATATGTTATTATGGTTCCGGTCGGCGAGCGGCCACCCCCCCCCCCCAATGGTCTCCCCCCCACTTCCCACTTCCCACTTGGGGGGGGGTGGCCGCTCGCCGACCCTCGAAGCCTTGGCCCTAAGCTGACCCACCAGCGGCCCCACAGGAGGCTACCATGACCATGGCGGGGGGGGGGGTGCCAGACCTCTACCAAATATATGGTCCTGTGTTCCGTGTTGCTACCCCCCCCGCCAATATGGTATAGGTCCCCCAGGACCCCCCCGCCCGGCCCGAGACCCCTGAGCCCCCGGATCCTGGCACCTACGGTCCCACCCCCACCCCGACCCCCTGAACTCGCACCCCGACACCCCGGCACCCCCACCCCCAGAAGCCAACCCGCCACCAACCATAAACCAACCCTAAACTAACCCTAAACCAACCCTAAATACACCCTAAACCAAACCCTAAACCGTGACCTCTAAACCTAAACCAACCCTAAATCAACATAAACCAACCCTAAACTAACCCTAAACCAACCCTAAAATAACCCCAAATACACCCTAAACCAATCCCTAAACAATAAACCCTAAACCTAAACCAACCCTAAACCAACCCTAAACTAACCCTAAATTAACCCTAAATACACCCTAAATATACCCTAAACCAATTCTAAACCAACCCTAAACCACCACAACCCAACCACAGGACCACAACCACACGGGGGGGGGGGGGGGTACTTGTCTGACCCATGACCAGGGGGGGGGGGCTGGCAACGCTGTACAGTAACTATCTCTCTCTCTATATATATACATATGTGTACCTGTGTAGCTGTGTATTGATTGTACTTTTAATTGGGCCGACGTCGTGCCCAGACCATTTGTGTTGTTTTCTCACAAGCTGCTTTATGAAAGAGTTGATCAAGGGACAGCTTTGGTCTGTCACTTCTTGCAATGCCTGAATACAAAAGAGAAGAAGGATAAATGATTTCACAAGCATAGACCCCAGATAGCACGGGAGATTTCAACACCACCCTGACTGCATCGCCAAACAAGCACCGTGAGCAACCAGCACACCACTTTGAGCACACCTAACAGCACTCTAAGCAGCACCACCCAGACCAGCGCCCACAACAGCACTTTGCCCGCACCCCCAAACAAGCGCCAAAAGCCACTGCCAACGTAATTAGCTTGAAGAATGATGAAAACATCACCCTGGCTGCATCGCCAAACAAGCATCGCCAGCAACCGCTACACCACAGCACCTTGAGAGCAGCTTGACCGGCGTCCGAAGCAGCACAGCACCAACACCGGTAGCGCCAAACAAGCGCCGCCAACAGCACCCTGACTGCATTGCAAACAGGCAGTGCCAGCAACCACCATAGCACCTTCAGCACTCCCCAAACAGCGCGCACTCCAGCACCTCCAGCAAGCGCCGCCCGTCACAACTAGAACCCTGACCAGCACCCGAAGGGGATTTTGGCCAGCCTCACCACAGCGCTGCAAGCACCGCCAGTCACCACCTATTGCCCAACAAGCAGCCAGTGACCACCAGCACCGTGACCTGAGCAGCATCCCTGATTAACACCAGCAACCCCCGCCTCATAGCTATAACCCGCAAAAACAAACTGTGAAAAAAGAGGTAAAGACGGGTTATTTTTTCTCAAGCTGTGGACTGCTGTTTCGAGTCAAAGCCGTACTTTCTCTCAGCGGCATCCTAGACCCGACATGCTGCGAGGGTGTCGGAGCCCTTTCGTTGCCCGGCGGTTTGTTTGGGCCGAAGGAACTTTTGTGCGCGCGGTCTCCGGCGAGGATAGCAGGAATGGCATGGTTTGGCTCTACAACATCAGCGATGGCTCCTGCATCTCAGCTTTGGGCTGCCACAGCAGCCAGGTGAGCCTTTTGCGAGACTTCTCTTGGGCAGCAGATTCGGCTCCGAAGATGTGATTCGTTTTTAAGGCTTATTCAGGGTTTCCTCCGTTTTCCTTGTTGGAACCTCCAACAGTTGCAGTTTCAATGGAAACCACCAGTAAATTGCAACTGTTAAGGGGGAAATCCAAGGAACACTGTTATTCTCTTCAGGACAACATGTGCTGTATCAAACCTGCATGGGTTTAGCAAGCCCTGGGTTTGTTTTATGTAGGACTGATGTTGGCAATTTGTGTTAAACTCCCGCGCTTTTTGCGGACTCGCGTCTGGAGTGGTATCATCAGTCTGGGTTATCTGGATTTGATGTTTGGACAATTTGTTTCTCGGTGTCTCAGCAACGTTGCACATAAAGATTTCTAAAAACTCAAGATGCCAGCGTGTGAATTAGTCTCCTTTATGAAGTGAGCTTCTCAACCCACAACGACTGGCCAACTGAGCCTCTTAGTTAAGGACCCGGTGTCAGCCCCAGGGTCTCGTTGCGGCAAGCAGCTGCGCGCAGAAGACTGCCACTTGCCCTCTTCCCCAAAAAACAAGAGACAAAAAACAGTGGGTTCTAGCGCTAACGTCACCCATGGCGAAGGTTGTTTGGACAGCGAAACCTAATTCTGATCGTTTGATTGCAACTTACCTGCAACTATCTATCAAAGAACAACCTGCCAATCAAGCTCGCAGGCCAGGGGATACCCAGCATCCCGTGCGTGGTTGGCGAGTTGAGAAAGACAGTGATGTTTGGAGTGTGTTTTTTTTTCTTTGGGGCCGGGGGGTTGCTTGCTTGGCAAGCGTCAGGAGGCGTGCTCGTCCAAACCACGCGTTTAGGTTTTCAGTTAAGTGGATTCGATTTTCCCTGCTTTTGCCGAGCAGGTTTCCTGAGGAAACTAGCTGGCAACTCCCCACGGCCACTGAAGAGGCTGACTATGACTCACTGCCAGGTCACCAGCACGCTGATCTCCTCTTCCTACGCGGGGATGGTCATGTCATGCGGTGCGGCAGCCAAGCATCCAATCTGCTCACTCTGAGATGTATGTTGCTCCGAAGCTCTCAAGGCTCTCTTGATTAGTTTTCAGGTGTGGAATCCCACAAAAATCATTCAGATGTGTTTTGCTGTTTGTGATCCTGTTCAACACACCCAACCCCCACACGGAGACAGGTGGCGGCGACCAAGAGAAGAGGCACCAAATTGGAGAATGGTCACCATCGCTGGCTGGGCGTCGAGGTCATCAGTCTGTTAAAAGAGTATTTAACTAATCGTCTTAAAGGTGCATTTCTTTTGAGACGTGGCTATGACCCCACAGTTCTGGAGTCTTGAGCATGCCACACATGTTGCGATCCACATTTCTCTCGCATTTGCAAGGGGGCTATCACCATGTCTGAAGTTTCATAGCCCTTCCACCGGAGATCGCTTTTGCCACTTAGGCCACAAGCATGTTTCATCCCTCGTCTCACGTGGTTGACCCCCCAACCCTTCGACACTAGAGAGCAGGAACAGCTTTGCTGAGTAATTTGCGGCGCAACTAGTTAAAGCATGCAAATGTTGTTGCGATTATAGCCATGAGCTGTGCTGACGGCATCACGCGATAACGCGTCGATCATGTTGACATCAGGTTCCATATACATGTGTGTGTATACATACACAACAGAGGTTGCGTTGGACAGAGAAAAGAGCTCAGTCTGAACATATTGTGCAGCATGTCGCTCTAGGCGAGCTTGAATAAGCTGACATTACTGTGACATTTCACGCCTTCTAACAGGCGATAAACCACCGCTGACACGTGTGTTTGTTCTGAACTAATGCATGAGTGTTAATGGATCGAAGCACAGTCCAACTGAGATGTCCATGAGATTCTTGAGCCCTTGATTCCGGAAAGACCTTAAGAACCTCTTCACCGGAAAGGTGAGCTCCAATCGCTCTTAACCTAAGCAGGCCCGAAGGAGCCTTTCTGGCGGGTCGTGGTGCATCACCGAGCCAGTTGTGGCTTGGCATCGCTTTGAGGCTTGGACGGCACGGTGCGCGCGTACAACGTCTCGAACCCTTGGGACAACGAGTTGTCCGGGCCTCGGCTCGAGAGGTGTCGTGTGGCGACTGTCCGTCCGTCGGCAATTTTTTTTCGCTGGGATCTCTATATGGCCATGGCTCAAAACCAATGGTACCATTTTGGGACAGGTGCACCACCCATTTTAGAACCTGTTTTATTTGGGATTGGGATGTTCACTGGGGGTACAGGGTTTTGATTCATGGCCATATCACGCACTTCGATTTGGTCCTCTTTTGTTCACATGCAACTATGCCGTGCGCTTTCTCTGGCTACAAGCATGCTGAGACGCATGCGTGCTTTGCAAAATTAGGGGCACTCTTGTTTGTAAGCAACGGATGGGGTAAACCCACCATTTTGGTTCAAGATGAGAGGAGAACAGTCAGCCAAGGGGCCGCTTTTGCGGCTTGCGATGAGTTTGTTTCCATGGGCATCAAGTAAGTCTAGTCACGACTGTAGACATACATCACCCCTCCCAGGTTCTCATACATGAATGAATCATGATGATTTGAGCAAATGACCTATTTTTTCCTGTCTGCGGTGGTGCACTGACAATTCTGACTTGTTGCATATCGCTGTTGCTAAAGAAAGCTTTATGATGTCAGAGTGTGTTGTTGGTGCTGTGGTTTCTCTCGTGGACTCGCGCTTTGCACATTCAGAGAGAAGCATATTGCAGGGAGTGTACGAGCCTCTGGTCACCTTGGACAAGCTTTTTCATTTAAACGAAATTGGTTCTAGCAACTTGGTGGTTCCCAGCCATCCGGTTCCTTATTTTGCTTCTTAGTGTTTAGCGGTTGGATTTGAAAATTTCACCCACGAAAAGTTACTCGCTTTGAGCGGATCTGAAAACGGGCCTCGTCCATCTGATTTGGCCAGCTCCGAAAGCTTACCTTCAGCTGAGATGAGACTTAACTCTGAATGTAGCAGGCCATCCGGCTGGTTCAAACTGCCTCCTTAGGTATTTAGATGTTTAGTTGGTGTAGTGGGGATGTCCAATTAAAACCTAAAAAGTTAAAACACTTTTAGCAGGGGTGATTTGGGGACAGCCCAGTTGAAAGAAGCAACCTTAGTGCTCCTCTTCGGTTCCCCTTTATCTCGACTTGGGCCATTCGAGCGTGAAGCCTCCGTCCATTTCCGGAGGGCCAAGTCGAACACGCACTGCTCCTTTTCAATCGTCAGAGTGAAGCACACATGATGGACTTCTTGCACATGAGATGAATGAAATGCACACACACACATGGATCACTATGTATTGCATGAGATACGTCAACAATACATACATATTAGTATACATATTATATATACATATATATATACATATATGTTCGCATGTGAATGTATGTGTTGAAATCGGACAGCAACAATGCCCTTTGCGCTCGCATGTGCACATCCTCGAGTGCTCAGGTTCCGCGATGCACGGCCCTTGGCCAACGCTGACGTGGGCGCAACGTGCATGGACGCCACCCCCGAGATAGCTCGGAAGCCAAGGAGAGTGTGGCGGGTCAGAAAGGCAGGAAGATTCGCCCAACAGCTCAATAAGTGGCTTACCTTTTGAAGCAAGGCAATCCACGTGTTTGGTGTGTGTTGCTGGATGGTTGACCAATCGAGGGAACAGCCTAAAAGGAACCACCAAAAGGCAGGAACGACGTCATGATGCGTGTTAAAGGGACACTCATGAGTCATGTTGAATTGGATGACGCTTCAAATGTCTACTTTATTTGCAAATTGACATGGAATCCCGAAAGGAAGCCCCCACAAAACGAGTTCTCCAGACTGCTGGCTATTGGGGTTGCGTGTTAATCTGCGTACATATAGTGGGCTTCTATGGAGCGGTGCATACGCAACTCTTGAATGTAGGACTTCATCGGATGGGAGGACACCACATCCATGGGACTTTGGCATCTACACGCAACTCATCAGAAACCAGGGTTTCTTAGGTGGTGCGAAACGGATTTCGCAACCATCCGCAGGGAGGAAGCAGCCTCAGGATCTGAGTTTGTCTCCAATATCATCTAAGCGAAAGGCCGAATCGCCGAACTGGTCAGCTATCAAAGATGCCAGAGCGCAAAACCACACAAGCCATGCCGGGTGTGGGGGACTTGGGAAGGCCAAAGCAGCGGCAAGTCTTGAAGTTTAGGTAGGCAGCTGACCCATCATGCACGGTAGCAGTGTCTTGTGGAGTAAATAGTAGTGCTGTGTTGCATGGTTATGTTTGTGCCGATAGAGCAGTTGCCTGAGAGAATCACAGGCAGTCAGGCAGTGAGGCAGTAAGGCAGTGAGGCCGCGAGCAAATGTGAACCAAGTCAGGTTCCTTTGGTTTGGGAGCCTTTGATCATATGTTGGCAGCACCAAATTTCTTACGATGTTTTGGTTTTTCCTGTTCACATCAGTGTGAGCTGAACGACAACTCTTGTTCAGTCTCTCCTGAACTGAAAGTCCCCTCAGGGAAAGTGACTTGTGGGGCAGTAGGGCTCGCCTGAGGTCGGGTTCACCCGCCCTTCACTCGACCCCATAAGTTCTGGCATGTATGATGGAACTCGTAAAATCAGAACTTCAGGTGTCCGTTTTTTTTTGGGTGGAAGTAACATCTGGGCGGTTCCCAATTTGAAGACACCCCTGCAATGAGTTGTTTGGTCATGTGAGAGGGCTATTTGTAGAGTGCAGAAGCTATGCTGGCTGAGGCGACGGCCTTACCACATTCCGCAAGGATTTTTCCGAAGACCTAAAACAGGCTTGTGGGATCAAGGGGTTTCTCCCCACTTCTGTGACCCAAGGGAATCCCCCTTTTTTCTCAACAAAAGCGTCTTTGGGAATCTGCAGAATCCCTTTCTGCTGTATCACAGAAGTGGTCATTCCCCACAGCCCTGGCGGCCAAAACGGCCCGGATATTAAAAAAAAAAGAAAAGCGTGCCACGCCTTCGGCTCGGCGCCCAGTGCACCGATCTCCGACCGAGGTGGACCCTACGAAGCGCACCATTTGCGTTGGCTACACGGCGGGGCGGCCCGTGGGACGGGGAAGCGCTTCGGTTCAGAGAGCCGACGGGACTTTGGCTTGAAACCATAGTCCTCTTTGATTTGGTGGACAAATAGAGGGGTTCGGTTCAATCAACTACCAGGGATATCCGAAACCATAGCTGTGGATGGTTGCGAAATCCTCTTAGTCGCACCACCGTTCAGACTCCCCTCGGATGGTCCGCTTCCCCGACGGTAAATACCAAGAGACCAAGGGTCTCAACCATGGTTTCAAAGTGGTGCGAAATGGATTTCGTGCATCCACTGTAGGTGTCCTCTTTGGTTGATTTGGTGGACAAATAGAGGGGTTCCGCTGGTTTATCCTATCCATCTATTTTCCCAAAAAGGAGACCTATGTTCGAAACGATGACCCATAGGTGTCCTTTTGATTGGCTAGCTTGGCTAGACATAGATGGGTTCCACTGGTTGGCTTAGTGCCATCCAAGTACCCAAAAAGACCCATCGAACATTTTTGAAAGGGCCACCTATGCAGTCAAGGTTGGCTTTCTGCGAGTAGAAAAGGTCATGAAAGCCCCGGTAAGCGGGCTTCGCCCATTTGTCAGTCAGCTAATCATGCGCATATTTGTGTATATGAGATAATTCATGTACACATGGTTTTGGATATTTATGTGTAAGATGTATATTATATATATGGTGTTTTTAAAACATGTCAGTTCAATGTCTCAAGTGCAATGAAAGAGGTACTGAATCATGAAAGCCTTTGTCATGGACAAACATGGGGAAGTGTGGGGTTACAAGTGATGATCAGGAAGCGCTGGTTACAGGACGAATATCGCAGTTGTCGGATTTTTCGGGCTATGGTCACATATTAGCAGCAGAATCAGAAGGTACAGCCCAAGTGCGACTGGACTTGGCCCCGCTTGGACATTCGCTGATACCCACGGTTCTACCCTCTCCGGCATCCTTGACAATACACTCATCCCACAAAGCATGGCGTTTATATCCATCCGCAAATGGGAGTGTCTCTTTTTCAGGGTCTCCTTTTTGGATGGTGCTTTGATGGAACACCAAACGAAAGCCGACCCATTTTCTGAGGGTCCGATCCCGGTTTTTTGAGATAAACCCACATGGCGGTGGTTCAAACAAATGCACCTTGGTAAATGGAAACAAAGACTAAAGCCTGCGGTTTGCCCTAGCTCTTAATTTGTGAGCCACAGCCACATGGCCATGGGTCAAAATCCAAATCGTACCCCCAGTGAACATCCCAATCCAACCACTAAAATAGGTTCCAACATGAGTGGCGAATTCACCAAGCCCAACCAAAGTGGGATCCCAAAACCGGTTTTGGCCACCACAGCCACATGGTGCCCATCTTTCACCGCCCAGACTGGACTGAGGACGGCACGATCCGGGCCTTCACAGCCTGCTCCGATGGCTTTTTGCATCTGCAGGAGCGGCGGGCGACATGTCTCAAAAGTCCTACGGGTGGACGAAATCCCAAAGTCGCAACACCTAAAGAAACCCTGGGGTGATGCTTCCCGTGTAAAGATACCAACAAACACTGATATCCCATGATTTCAACTGAGTGTATGGTTTCCAGAGGGTGCAACCTAGTGTGGGTGGACGAAATCCGCTTCGCACCGCTTTGAAACCATGGTTAAAGCCATTTGTTGGTTGGTATTTACGTTGGGGAAGCATCCGAAATTCCAGGGTTTCTTAGGTGGTGCGAATTGGATTTTGTCCATCCACAGTATGATTCTTCAGGGCCCCCCAAGAGAGGCCCCCCTAATCCCAATAGGGCCTAGTAGCCACTCATAAGGCCTAGGGGCTGATAGGGCTCCTCTTTTGGGGGGTTCCCTCTTTGCGGGGGCCCTAGCAACCATGGGAAAAAGGATGAAACACAGCCGTGCCTTGGATCGTTTTGGCAGGAAGCGCACAGCACGTTTTTGGAGTGTAATCACCTGGTTTTGACGATTTCGTACCCAGAAGAACATGCAGATCGCGTGGAAGATGGCGCCCAAACAGGTAAAAGGAATGGAGGCAAGCTCGCTGACTGTGCACATTTCTCGGAAACAACAACGGGCCTTGGAGACATCCGCACATGACCCGGTCATAGGCACACATGCATTACCCGTGCAGAATTTGCTGGGCGCAAACTACACGGGGTGCCAACTAGACTGGTTGCAAATGCGAAACGGCATCTGTTCTGCCTATCAAAACCCCTGGGAAAACGCTTCGTTTGCAATGGATGATGAACCACAGTGTGCATTGCCTTACTTGACATCCATCCCGAAGCTTAGTTTTGGCCAGAATCATTCCTGAAAGTGCAGCTCTTGATTGATCAGACCTGGCCGGTTTCAGAAGATCCCATGGGTGCTGAAACTTGAAGAGCCGTATTCCCGGCCCGGCAAAGCCCGGCAAGAGCCTCGCTGCCAGGCGCTGAAACCGCACAAGTGCCTGGTGAAGCAGCTGAAGTGCCGAGCGCAAAAACCTTTGGGCACTGGCGCGGTTTCTGAAGGGAGAGGATGGGGAGCTTGCGTGGCCGTTGTCCACTGAAATGACTGTGGTTGTCAAAACCAATGGGATCCCATTTTGGTTGGTAGGTGATTTCACCACCCATTTTGGAACCTATTTTAGTGGTTGGATTGGGATGTTCACTGCGGGTACGATTTGGATTTTGACCCATGGCCAAATGGGGGGAGACGCTGCATTGCTTCTTCCAGCTTGAGGTTGAAGCCCACTTCCCCATCTTTCTGTCTTCCCAGCAAGCAAAAGATCCCAGGTCTCAGCAGGTACAGCAAGGCATTTGCAGAGCAAAAGGGGCTCTCAATGCTTGGCGCCCCGTGTGTTTCACATCTGCAAGTCTTTCCAATTTGTGGCGTCAACCCCTTGATTCTTGCAGAGAGCAGCAAAAATGCATGCAACCATGTCCCCTACGAAGATCAAGCTTAGTCCACCATAGTGCAGCATATGTTGAATCACATGTCTTCTCAACCCAGTTCTTCCAGAAACTATTTACAGGGGCGATTCGGTACGTCAGGTAATCCTGGTTATTATAACCCAGAAAAGCCATGGTAATAAGTCTCCGTCCAGTGGGTTAAAACCAGGCTTTCTAACCACTTACCTGACGTACCGAATCGCTCGCCCCTTCAAGTAGGTGTGCTAGTTCGATTAGAAATAGATGGGTTCCACTGGCTGAGAAATTGGTTTTATGCCATCCATTTACCAGCCAATTTTATCTATTTATCAAAAAGGCCACCTATGCAATCACCCGGGTTTCCTTACGGAGATCCCTGCCACTTTGAGTAGGCGATGTAAACCAATCTCCGTTTCGCCCGCTCGCCGTCGATGCCGTCGATGCAGGTACAGCGGCGATGACGCCGGGCTCCTGGCCACCTTGAGCGAGGCGTGGTGGCTGGGTGGGGCGGGTGTTTGGACACGCAAATGGATACTGGCCATATTTGCCCCGGCGCACGTTGGGGATGTTTGTCCAATCGCTGGCTGTTTGTTGCTGAAACAGCACGATGTCGTTCACGCGATTGCTGTTGGAAGATGGGCATACTGCATGGAATTGCCATTGGCCATCATGGAGATTGTTTCTTCAAATGGTCGTAATTCGTAATCATGTTTTTATTTAGACATCCGTTTCTTCCAACCATGCGATTCAGACGCATCATGGCAACTTGTGAACTAAAATGCGACCGATGAATTTAATATGCCAGGAGACAGCTCTGCTTGTTTACGCCCCACTTGATGTTGCTTTACACATTTCTCGCACTCACGAGTCAGTGTAGCAACCAAGCACTACATGCCATTCACGCTGCGGGACGCGAAAGCAAACGTTGGAAAGGCAACCGCGGAAGTCCGCCCTGCTGGCCCGCGAGCAATATGCGGAGTCCGCAGAAGCAATATGGCTATGGGTCACAACTCCCTGCCCCAAAATTTGGTGTTGACCCACGGCCACGGGCCCGTTCCGAAGCGCGCTCGCCGTCGCGGGGACTTTGGTGGCCGGCCATTCACATCCGGCTTGCGGCGGGCCATAAAACAGCGTCAAGACACGGCGCAAGTCCAACTTGACAAGCACACTCCGTGCAAGTCACCATTCCAGGGCTGCAGCGCAGCAAAAGGGGTGGGAGAAGAATCGGTTTGTCCCAAAGCATCGGACACACCCGGAGTTTCACAAGTGAATCTGTTCGATTCGCAAGCTGGATTATGGAATTTGAAGCGATGCTTTCAGGGCCTCGCACTGAATCACAGTGACTTGCACGTTTCATCAAGCACATTCATTCTTGGGAAATGACGTTGATGACTGATTTGCATTTGGGGTTTGCCTTGAACCACGTTTTCCGGATGAAGTCGCCACAAAACACGTGGTAGTGGACCTGGATTCATCATTTTCTTCACGGCAGTGCTTCTGAGCAAAACCAGACTGGTGTCCTTGGGATTCATCTCTCTTAGTTTTCTCATTCGTTCAGTCTTTTGCTTGTTTTTTTGATCTTGTTGGATATGTTGATCTTCTGTTTGTGAATTGTCTGCTCTTTGGTTCCTTGCTATTTCGCGCCTTCTTTTTGCTTTACCTGCTCTTTCCCTGGATTTTCACTGGTCGGTTTTGAAGGGAATCAATTTCACTACCCCATGGGGTCCAAGACCTCCTGAGGACGGCTTCTGGTGGCAATAAGGGGTCCAAGTGCCTCCTTAGAAGGTACTGGGACCCTCTGATTACTGGAAATATGGTTAGGGAATCAATGCACTGGACATTTTTTTGCTGATTTCACTACTGGACTTATTTTCTTGCATTTTCTCCAGCGGGCTGAACTAAGCAAGCGGAAATATCGCGGCCGCGCGCTTCTATTGGGCTCCAGGACAACGCGGTGTTCTTCTTCCAGGTACAGCTCCTTTCCGAGCACGTGGGGTGCTGAGTCGCCTGGGACACATGCCTAGCTTCGATGGCGCTGCTTTTTTTTGGGCGGCTCCCCGTTTTTCTTGAGGCTGGGTACCCCTTTTTGGGTTGGTTTAAAGGGAGTTTACAGGAAGACACCATATGTCATTTTGGGGGTTTCACTCTGGGACCTTTGCATCATATCAGCGCGCCTCTGCCAGTCGTTTGGCTGGGTTGAATGCAAGGGATATTCACGTTGGGTTTGGTTTCATGCTTCCAACTCAAAGATACGAACTTGGATTGAGGGAGTTGGGAGGATCAGCGCCGGGAGCTCTGGCTGATTTCTTGCAACGCCAGGTTTTTAGTGCCTCAGCAGTGTGGAAACGGGGCAAACGTATATAGTACGCGGCGAATTGGGGCTTTGCCCGACAAGGGGAGCTTAAACAACCGCAAGATCCGAAAGCGTCGCGACCAGTTCGCAGCGGAAAGTGGGAATGTACATGTGTCAAAATAGAGGGACACCCCCAAATGTTGATGATCCTGTTGATGTTTCTTTTTGGTGCTCCATTGAAAAACCACCAACTGAAGCGAAAAAGCCGTGGGCTAGGTGTTTTTTCTTCTTTTGGTTGTCCATTGAGAAGCCAACCTAAAAGGGTAGCCACTGCAACGAGAAAGCCATCCAGGCCATCCCCATCGGCTTCGTGAAGATCCCCACCACGGTGGACTTCTTCACTTGGGACGATGTCTCAGGCCTTCGGTCAGATGGATCGCTCGATTTGCTTCCCAGGTGAAATTGGGGTGGCCCCGAAAGGGCGACCAGGGCAAAGATGGGTATTGGATTTTGTTCGGCTTGCGGACATAAACTTGGAGATTCATTTCGAGTTGATGTTTTGAGTGTGGGTTGAATTCTGCAAGGTCAAGCTGCTATCCGAGGATGCATATTGGCATTTGTTAACATAAGGAAGGGTCTAATTCCCCAGTGCAAGCTATAGCTGGCCTGCTGGATGCCCAAGACTCTTGCTGCAGTTTCTCCGCCAGCAAGTCTAACCCGATGCCAACAGCACTAGAAACAATCAGGGGAATGTGACTAGGTCCCCCAGTGCCCTTTTACCGTTTCTTTTTGGGGGGAGGGTTCCCCTACTGAAATAGACTACATAAAAAAGGGTAACCTTATTCTAACCCCCTACTGGAGGACCTAGGTGAGAACAGGTTCCCTGTGAAAAAAATGATCACGGAACTGTCGCGCGTCAGAAGAACACGTGTAAGTGCCGGCCTGCCGGCGCGCGGAAGGTGAAGGGCAGATCAGTCCCATACCTGAATGTGTGGAAAGCCATGAAAGCATCAAAGGCCTCGACTCTGATCATGCAGCATTTTTGTTTCGAAAACGGCGTACACAAGGCGGGATCTGTCCCTGTTGAGGGTTGGAATTCACTTTTCCCTGGCTTCAAAGGTGAAAACAAAGATAATCATGTCAAGGACTTTACAGTTGACGAGCGAAGAGATGAGAGAGGAGACAGAGAACAAGAATCCTTTGCCTCTTCCCGTCTATTTCTCATGGAATCATATTCATATGCCGTCAGATTCCAAAAGCTCATCATGAAATGACTGCTTCAAGTGTTTCTGTGCTGCTTGCCAGGGAACCACATGGCTGCTATTTGATAAGGTCTTTGATTCTCGGAAATTTCCCGAGAGTATGGAGTACAGTCAGATGTGTGCCTTTTCACAGTGACCTCACCAGGTGGCATGGGTAAACATCAGCTGTTGTTTAGGATCCTTTCTCGTCGCCCATATTCAATTTCAGAATGCTTTCTTTGGGTGCAAGCGAAGCCTTGCCTATGAGGAAATCAACTATGTAAACCATCCCTTGTGGTTTCCTTTGAGGGAATCCCCAGGTTCATTCCCTCATTCCCTACTGAGCACCAGCAAGAAACAGCTGCTTTTTGTCAACGTCACTGGAGGTTTGCAGAACCCTTCTTCCCACCGTGGCAACTGAAAGGTAATTACCAGGGTCAGATCAGTTTTTGGTGTGAGGTTTGTAAGGGATTTGGAGACTTTTGCGTTGCCCTTTTTCCGGTGCTCTCCGGCCAGGCAACCTTCTTCTGAGCCTCCGGGATGGCCCTTTGGCAACGATGCTGGTATGTTTTGGGAGCTCCTGCGGCTTTGGGTCCGCCCACTTGGCAAGGTGAAAGCTTTTTTGTGGTCCGGCGGCTTTGGGTTCGCCAGATAGGAAGGTGAAAGCTGGGAGTTTCCCTTAAACTTACGAAAGTTTCCCAATATGACACTCCCAAAATATGAGCCTGGCATGTGTTTAGCCAAAACTTACTTGGGTGTTGCTGACAAGAGGTTGTGAGAACCTGGGGTAGACTTAGGATACATTTTACATTTTACCAGTGACTCAAATTGAAGCAACCAGTAAAATCTACATTCTATAACTGGGCCTAACTCTATTCATGGAACGATTGTGCGCTAGAGATGCTCACTAATTAGAGAGTCCGGGGCGTTCTCGCTTGAGGTTGCCGCTGCATTGTGGCAGCCAAGCGAATAGCAATCAATTGCTCAGGTCGTGGGGCCCACATGGGGAGATGGCGAAGGTACGTTGAACATTAGTCATGTTTTGCATTTATATACTCAACCAAAATGGGATCCCAAAACGGTTTTGACAACCACAGCTATGTGTCATCCGGGTCAAAATGTGGTGCTGTGCATACACATATGCAGATGCGCACCCACAACCCATAACGCCAAATAAGTAGTTTGTGGTGATGGTCTTGAATATGATTGCCTTTCCTAGAGGCGGTAGCCAACCTGAGAACACACACACACACAGATGCACGAAGGCAATGCTGTCATCAACTTGACTCGAACAAACAAACAAACAACGAAAAATGGATCAGGTTGGACTTGTGCTTGAAGAGAAAGTTCGTCATGTTTCTGGTAGACCCTCAAGGGCTTCAGGGATGGCACTGCTTGACCCCTTGTTCCAGAGGCGGATAGAGGGGACGTGCATTTTGGAGTGGCGAGGCATTTCGAGCTGATAACAATTGCAGAAACATGGAGCTGCAAAACATGCCGAAATCAGCGCTGGTGCAGTCCCGTAGTGCCAAGATCAATTGAGCCACAATCAACACCCGGGTAGATGAAGGTTAGTAAGGGGCAGTCCCAGCCAGAAATAGTTGCAGCCGCCTTCTTAATTATTTCCATTGTTCTGGGTAGACCATTTTAAGACTGGGTTTTACACAGAAAATTCGAATTTGCAGTTCTGCCCCTTTGAGATCGACGGTGGCTGCATTTCTCCGCCATTGGACGGCTGACTGGGATCGGTCATCGGATGACCTGCGTGTAACATCATTGGGCAACAAATGAAATTAGACGCGTTTGCCTTTTGCGGAGTAATCACAGTGGTTGGCAATAGCTGGCAATTGGCAACTTTTACGATGAGCGGAGCTGATGCTTTTGACCGCAGTCGGAGTGGAATTGTCGAGTGGTTGTGGTGATGTTTGTCTGTCCCAAGTGGCATTGGCAACATGTTCAGGGGCCAGCAAAAAAAACAATCATCGGTCGGTCGGTCGAGTTTCAAGTGCACACAGCTTGGAAGAAACTAGTCTTGCCTGTCAAAACCTATAGCAACCTCACACGACCTCACCCCAAATGGTGGCTTATGTGGGGAATAGCCCCCCAACCACCTTATTTCAGGCTGGTGAAATTTTAACGCCTCCGGCTCAGGCCGCCGACATTACAGGCCTGCTTTCTTATTTGCGTCCCTTTGGAATTGTCCCTTTGCCCCCTTCCCCTCTGAGATTTTTGCCCCCCTTTCTTTGTTGAGATCCATTCCCCCTTTCCGCCCTAAGGCCTTTTCTCCCTCTGATTTTTTCCCTTTTCCTCCCTAAGATGTTTTCCCCCCTCTCCCTGTTGAGATCCTTTCCCTCCTTTCCCCCCTAAGGCCTTTTTTCCCCCCGCGATCTTCCCCCTTTTCCTTCCTAAGATCTTTTCCCCCCTTTCCTTGTTGAGATCCTTTCCCGCCCTTTCCCCCCTAAGGCGTTTTCCCCCCCAAGATCTTCTCCCTATTCCTCCTCAAGATCCTTTGCCCCCTTTCCCTGTTGAGATCCTTTCCCCCTTCCCTTAAGGCCTTTCCAGATCTTCTCCCTTTTCCTTACTAAGATTGTTTCCCCCCTTTCCCTGTTGAGATCCTTCCCACCCTTTCCCCCCTCAGGCCTTTCCCCCCCTGAGAGCTTCTCCCTTTTCCTTCCTTAGATCTTTCCCCCCTTTCCCTGTTGGCCTTTTTTCCCCCAGATCTTCTCCCTTTTTTCCCTAAGATCGTTTCCACCCCTTTCCCTGTTGAGATCATTTCTCCCCTTTCCCCCCTAAGGCCTTTGTCCCCAGATCTTCTCCCTTTCCTCCCTAAGATCTTTCCCCCCCTTTCCCTGCTCAGATCCTTTCCCCTATTTCCCCCCTAAGGCCTTTCCCCCCCTGAGATCTTCTCCCTTTTCCTCCCTAAGATCTTTTGCCACCTTTCCCTGTTGAGATCCATTCCCCCTTTCCCCCCTGAGGCCCTTTCTCCCTCTGAGTTTTTCCCTTTTCCTCCCTACGATGTTTTCCCCCCTCTCCCTGTTGAGATCCTTTCCCTCCTTTCCCCCCTAAGGCCTTTTTCCCCCCCGCGATCTTCCCCCTTTTCCTTCCTAAGATCTTTTCCCCCCTTTCCTTGTTGAGATCCTTTCCCGCCCTTTCCCCCCTAAGGCGTTTTCCCCCCCAAGATCTTCTCCCTTTTCCTCCCTAAGATCCTTTGCCCCCTTTCCTTGGTGAGATCCTTTCCCCCCCCTTTCCCCCCTAAGGCCTTTCCCCCCCTGAGATCTTCTCCCTTGTCCTCCCCAAGATCTTTTCCCTTGGTTGAGATCCTTTCCCCCTTTCCCCCCAAGATCTTCTCCCTTTTCCTCCCTAGGATCTTCTCCCACCTTTCCCTGTTGAGCTCCTTTCCCCCTTTTCCCCCTAAGGCCTTTTCAGATCTTCTCCCTTTTCCTCCCGAAGATCCTTTGCCCCCTTTCCCTGTTGAGATCCTTTCCCCCTTTCCCCCCTAAGGCCTTTTCCCTGCCTGGGATCTTTTCCCTTTCCTCACTGAGATCTTTCCCCCCCTTTCCCTGTTGAGATCCTTTCCCTCCTTTCCTTCCTAAGGCCTTTCCCCCCGCTGAGATCTTCTCCCTCTTTAAGGCCTTTCCAGATCTTCTCCCTTTTCCTTCCTAAGATTGTTTCCCCCCTTTCCCTGTTGAGATCCTTCCCACCCTTTCCCCCCTCAGGCCTTTCCCCCCCTGAGAGCTTCTCCCTTTTCCTTCCTTAGATCTTTCCCCCCTTTCCCTGTTGAGATCATTTCTCCCGTTTCCCCCCTAAGGCCTTTGTCCCCAGATCTTCTCCCTTTCCTCCCTAAGATCTTCCCCCCCCCTCCCCCCCCTTTCCCTGCTGAGATCCTTTTCCCCCTTTCCCCCCTAAGGCCTTCCCCCCCCCCTCCTGAGAGCTTCTCCCTTTTCCTTCCTAAGATCTTTTCCCCCCTTTCCCTGTTGGTCTTTCCCCCCTAAGTCCTTTTCTCCCAGATCTTCTCCCTTTCCTCCCTAAGATCTTCCCCCCTTTCCTCCCTAAGATTGTTTCCCCCCTTGCCTTGTTGAGATCCTTCCCACCCTTTCCCCCCTCAGGCCTTTCCCCCCCTGAGAGTTTCTCCCTTTTCCTTCCTTAGATCTTTCCCCCCTTTCCCTGTTGGCCTCCTTTTCCCCCAGATCTTCTCCCTTTCCTCCCTAAGATCGTTTCCACCCCTTTCCCTGTTGAGATCATTTCTCCCCTTTCCCCCCTAAGGCCTTTTTGCCCCAGATCTTCTGCCTTTCCTCCCTAAGATCTTTCCCCCCCCCCCCAGTTCCCTGTTGAGATCATTTATTTCCCCCCTTTTCCTTCTAAGGCCTTTTCCCACCCTCAGTTCTTCTCCCTTTTCCTCCCAAAGATCTTTCCCCCCCTTTCCTCCCTAAGTCCTTTTCCCTTGAGATCTTCTCCCTTTTCCCGCCACCTTTCCCTGTTGAGAGCCTTTCCCCCCTTTCCCCCCTAAGGCCTTTTTTTCTCCCCCTTTCCTTGTTGAGATCCTTTCCCCCCCTTTCCCCCCTAAGGCCTTTTCCCCCCAAGATCTTCTCCCTTTTCCTCCCTAAGATGTTTTCCCCCCTTTCCCTGTTGAGAACCTTTCCCCCCTTTCCCCCCTAAGGCCTTCTCCCTTTGCCTCCCCAAGATCTTTTCCCCCGGTTGAGATCCTTTCCCCCTTTCCCCTCGAGATCTTCTCCCTTTTCCTCCCTAGGATCTTTTCTCCCTGTCCCTGTTGAGATCCTTTTCCCCCCCTTTCCCCCCGAAGGCCCTTTCAGATCTTCTCCCTTTTCCTCCCTAAGATCATTTGCCCCCTTTCCGTGTTGAGATCCTTTCCCCCTTTCCCCCCTAAGGCCTTTCCCCCCCTGAGATCTTAAGGCCTTTTCCCCCCTTTTCCTCCTTATTCCTCCCCAAGATGTTTTCCCGCATTCCCTGTTGAGATCCTTTCCCCCCTTTCCCCCCTAAGGCCTTTTCCCCCCTGAGATCTTCTCCCTTTTCCTCCCTAAGAGCTTTTCCCACCTTTCTTTGTTGAGATCCTTTCCCCCCTGTCCCCCCTAAGGCCTTTTCGCACCCTGAGTTCGTCTCCGTTTGCCTCCCCAAGATCTTTTCCCCCCTTTCCCGCTTAAGATCCTTTCCCCCGTTTCCCCCCTAAGGCCTTTTCCCCCCAAGATCTCCACCCTTCTCTTCCCAAAGTCTTTTTCCCCCTTTCCCGTTTGAGATCCTGTCCCCCCATTGCCCCTTAGGGCCTGTTCCCCCCGAGAAAGATTTCCCTTTTCCTCCCAAAGATCTTTTCCCCCCTTTCCCCCTTAAGGCATTTTTTCCCCAGATCTTCTCCCTTTCCTCCCTGAGATCTTCCCCCTTTCCCCCCTTCATTTCCTCCACCAGCATGGGCAACATCCCCAGCATCACTTGCATCATCCGCATCCTTGGCAGGCGCTGATGCGGATGATGCAGGTGATGCTGGCGATGTGCCGCTGGAGCTGCTAAGGATGCGAAAGCGCACCCGGGGGGAATCAAACACCCCAATGTTTTTGACAAACTGAGTTGCGCAAGCCAGATTTGGTGAAGCGTCTTCGAATCACCGCGTGGTACGCCCCCCCGCAATAGTCTGAAATTGTGCCCTGGGGAGGGGTTAGGGGATGTCCAACACGCTGTCTGTTGTCGGCGGATAGAGAATTCACTCAGTAGCTTGGCCGTCACAACCAGTTCTTTGGACTGAGGCCCAAGCAGACAGCACCGTTGTGATTGTTCATGTGTTTTGCGCAGGGCTCCTTAAAAGATCTCCATTTTCCCACCATTTGAAACATGTGGCTTTTTCAACACCAAAATCAAGGGACACCACCATTTACAAGTTGCAATGTTCAGGTGTTGTCATGCATCCGGATACCATCCTCCTCGGGACTCCGTAAGCTCAAATACCAGCTGCTTGAAAGGAAGTATTCGGTCTGATATGCCATATTGACATGCGGCACGAAAGCTGATCAAAAGGTCCTTTACATGGGATGACCATAGGAAGCCGCCGAAAAGAGGTGATATTCTTTTAGCACATGGGGAAAGTTAACTGATAACCATGCTCAAAACTGGGGACCCTAAATGGAATATTGATCAACCCCCGTATGCACACATCTCGGTGATTCTGCTCAATCAAATGGCAAGTCGTCTTGACTTGCCGCCCCGTCAAGTCCTTGACGGCGCATCCGCATCCGAGTCAGACGCATCCGAGGCACGCTGCTCTCCCTGCAGTCCCCTCAGCTGGACAACGTGGACAACACGGAAACGTGAGCCGCTGTGTTCTCGTCAAGTTGGCTGCGTCCAACATGAATCAATAGTTCCTGAAGTTATTCCTCTTATTCCAGGCGGTTTGACTGGGAGAATAGTGGATGACTGGATTGAACACATCAACATAGAAGATGGTATACTGCTGGTCCTTGCATTGGTGTCCCGCGGATTCTGCAAGAGAGTAGGGATTCCTCCCACCTTGAACAACCCAGGTTGGGTTTTACACGGGTTATTGTGCGTCCTTGGCAGGGTCGAAGATGGCAGCCTCCACACTGGTTGTTACCAGGGAATGGTCAAGTGGTGTCCAGTCCGGTAAACCTTTGCGATGCTGCCTAATGAAATGATTCGCCTTGTGAGTCTGAGGTTCGAGGGGGACGCGGCCAATCCCCCACGGAATCAGAGAGAAGCCCAACAGACCGGGTTCTGCTCAATGTGCCAACTGCTCTCATGCGGCTCATGTTTGCACTCTGAGGTCGCCTGAACTTAAATTGCAATTTTCAAGAAATACACGTTGGGTGACCCAAGGTCCATGTCAGCTGGATTCAGCTGCGACTGGAAGTGGATATACCTTCAAACTTGAAAAATAACTCCCGAGTAGAGCTAGACTCATGTTGTGGGTACCAGTCTGAACTTTGCTGAGCCAAGTCTGGAGCATCTTCCAGAAGAAGCCAGCACTAGCGATCGAAAGTCACGCCTTAGATAGGGCATCGCCGTTGCCCATCCTTTTGCCAGCACACTCCCAACAACTGACAAGCAAGCACCAGACACCCAACAATCGACAGGCAAGCGCCAAGACAGTAGTCGCAAGAAAGACACTTGTTGATACAGTGCCGGTTGTTTCTGGTTTGTGTTATAAACAGAAGCGACTCCAATTGAAGCCATGTTCTGCCTGTTGCTTCTCAAGTGAGTGTACGTTGGGTGCTTCCAACGCGTGATTTGGCCCCTGCCTGTTGTTCTATTGTTTGTTATTGTTGTCGTTGTTACTTGTTTCAACATACCTGTCTGTCGCTGCGGTGGCCGCTTTTTTGCCGCAGGTATGAGATCCAGGTGAACTACTGGTCGGTGCAGCCTGAAGTGCCGGAGATTGAGTAGTGGAGCCCAGGGAGGTGTTGGCTGAGTTGTTTCCGCTTTCACTAGGAGCATGTGGCATCGCGACACAGCACGAGCTCACGAGCTCCCGCCATGCCCACATGCACGCATCCCGAGCATCACCTGCATCCCACACACAAGCAGCCGGACAGCATCATCAGCATCCCGGCCCACTGCAAACACCGCTTGTTGGGCATCATTGAGGTTGCTTTGGTGTTGCATTCAGCCCGCTGGGTCGTTGCGAAAACCCGCATAAAACACTGGAACCACTGAGACAAATTGCTTGTTCTGGCTTGTGCTGGGCAGGAGTCAGAGCCTACTTTGCATCACCAGCATCACCAGCATCACCATGGTCTTGCTGGTGGACCTGCTGCCTTTTTCACGGTATACTAATGATGCGGGTTGGGGCAAGCTGATGCAGAAAGCCTGCTTTCTGGTGGTGTAGGGGGCCCAGGTTTTTTCTTGGCCTGGTGCCTTCCACTCAGCTACTGCCGCTCGCTAACGACTCAGATTCCAGGTAGCTGGCGCCACCTGTAACGCCTTTGGCTCAGGCCACCGAGGTTACAGGCCTGCTTTATTGCATGTGTCTGACAGGTGCATGTCTCCTTGCCGCAGGAAAAGCAGCAAGAAGTTATCACGTGCAGCTGCGCGCAACGAGCGGAGATGGGTGAGGGGGCGATTCGTTTTCTTCCGTGTGTTTTGCACGCGCAGATGTAGTGGACGCGGGTTCTGATGCAAAAAAAGCTCTCTGCTGGCGGCTGCTGGCGTTTCTTGTTTGTTCTTTTGCGGAATTTCCCTCAGTTGGGTGGTTTGGAATTTTGGTTGGGGAACTTGAACCCCTGGCTCCTGTGGAGGGCAACGGCAGAGGAGCCACCCCAAGGTACTTCAAGGCGAAATTAATTTCTTTGCAAAGACCACGGCCGCCGCCGGACTTAAGTGGGGACCTAAGTTTTGCCTGCGGTTGTTCCACTGTCATTTGTTGGCAAGGTTCCTGCTGCTGGATGGGGTGGTTTCTGTCTTTCCCGTTGATTCTTCTTGACTTTCTCTGTTTGCCAGCTTGATTCTTGCTTTTTTTCCTTTCATTCCTTCTGAAAGGTCCCCGCAGGACTTAAGGGATCTTTGGTTTACCTCCGTTTGCTCGAGTTCTTTTCAGCAACAGGGGATGCTGGAGGTTTTTGTTCGCAATCATTTGGGAAATGCCTCACGAAACATAAGTAGGACCTTTCATCTTCGCCTGTTTGCCTTGGTGATGCTGGTAATGCCGAGCTGGTGATGCTGAGGATGAGGCGAGGTGATGCTAAGGCTGCTGGACACTGCCCAGGCAGAATCGAACACCTCAAGGTTTAGCAGGCGTGTCCCGCATCGCCTCGTATGAAAGGGCTTAGAACCCTGCTGGGAGGGGGAAGAGGTAAGGGGGAAGGCTGCATTTCTTGTCTGGCGATCCCATCAGCCTTGCGTTTTAGGTCAGATGAGGAAGAAGAGGAGGAGGAAGAGGAAGGCGAAGGCGGAGAGGAGACCTGGGGATGGTGGGGAATGCCGTGAGGGGAAGCATGTGAGCCTTCATCAACACTAAGGCCCCTCCAAATGGTTGTTGTCCTTGTGGTTTCCTCTTCAGCCCAGCAATTCTCCCTGGGTTTGGAAACGCCGAAGGTTCTACGAGGACACTTCCTTTCAGCTCGAATTCTTGCAGGAATCTTCAGTTGCCATTGTGCCGTATTAGATTAGACTATCGTGTAAGACATAGATGGAGCAACATGACAACCAAACAAACATAGAAATCAGTGCAAACCGCGTTTGATGATTCGGCTTAGCAGCTTGACTGTTTGAAGCTCGACCCCCGGCCTCCAAACGACTGCCATGATCAAACCATCAGCCATTAGATAGACCGCAGATGCGTGACATGGATGCCAGAGTAATCATGTTTGTTTATTTCTCGCTTCGAGCATGGAGCGCAGACACATATGGGCTTCTTGTCGAAAACCCAACGTTTTCGGACATGTATGTCCCCTTCTTGTTTGTATGACGTTTGGAACTCAAGCAACAGTTCGGCCTTTCAATAGCTTGTGTTTGAACACGGGTGAATGCTCCAACCTTATTGGGCACCTGATCATCCCAAGATGGCCGGAGTTTGCTGTTTCCAAACCTCGACTTCAAGCCCCGACTCGGGCTCTTACTTGACAAGTGCTCAAGTGTCTATGATGCTTTCAACTCAAACACCATGCTCCATCTACATACCCTAAAGCAAACGAAGCCCAAGCCCCCACGAGGAGGAGGAGCCCCAAGATTCACCGCGTGAGGAACTCGCGGCTTGGCTGAGCATGCGCCATGCTTTTGTTGACATCCCCCCTCTTTGAAAGCACCCTTTCAGAAAACGCGGCAACTGACAAGATGAATTGCTGCGCGACTAGGTTGTCCTCAGTCTGTAGTGCACAAAGGAACTGTTGGTGTTTTACCGTGTTCTGACAAGATGATTTGCTGCGCGATTGGATTCCTGATTCTGTAGTGCACCAAGCAACTGTTGGCATTCTACAGTTTTGGTAGTTCATTTCTGTTTAGTTCAATGTTTCTTTTATGTCTTGGGAGTATTCGGTGTGGAATATTCTGTGTTGTTTGTTTGTGCATATGGCTGCATATGTATATGCATATGTATATGCAATTTATACACATGTATTATATGTTTCATATGTGCAGTTCTGGACACAGCCTGTAAATCACATTGCATACATACTGCTATGTATATGTACGTATGCCTACACATACACACGTACACATATCTCAGTTCACGCATTGCTATTTATGTTTCATTTGTTTGCATGCTTGCGTCTAACATATATGGTAACATAGTTATATACGTATATATATATATATATATACATATTATATATACATATATATATATATATATGTCAATGTATGTTTGTGGTACCCAGCACAATTCCAAGGGAGAGGTTGGTTCAGACCACGTCGTCGGGGACGGCAACTTTTTGGAGCACTGTTGGGAAATAACCCACTGAACGAACGGAGACTTACAACCATCGCTTTTGTGGGTTATCACCAGGCTTACGAGCCACTTACTAGTTACCCGATCGCCGCTCTAAGCAGTCGTTTTGCGCCTGGTTTTCCGTCCTCGAGCAGACGCACAACGCCAACATGCCAACTGTTGCCTTATGGCCACGGGGGTCTTGCATCGGAGGAACCTTGCAACAATGCCAGGAGTTGGGCAAATGCCGGCACGATGGGGCAAGATGGTTCGCACGGATGCCTTTGAGAGGTGTTGTTCCTGTACGGATACCCATCTTCTACTTGTGGAAGCAGACAGGAAGATTGGGATTGTGTCAATTCTCGTACCGCGCCAAATGGAGGGTGCCATTTTGGTTCCATTTTCAATCCGCCGCTGGTGTTGACATGTTTTAATGCAGCCATTTAGGAAGACTTTTCTTTCGGTCATCCACCTGTCTACTTGCAATTACTAGTATCAGGGAGGGAGTGTGCAAAGCAGTAGCTCTCTGAGCAGTTCATGGCTTTATCCTAGTGCCAGCTCATCCTCGGCAAGGTTTAGTCCTCGCAATGTCGGGACATAATTGAAAGATGACATGGCCCCTCGGGGGAAAGTGAAATGTGTATAGTGTCGCAGTGTTTGTATATGTGTTTTGTCCTGGTCAGGGTTCAGCATATGTTTCAACTGATCGACCGAGCGTGTTCATTGACCTTTCCTAGCTTCGCAGCTTCAGCTTCCCTGCTTCAATAAACGCTGCTTGAAAATGCATTCTGTGCACAAAGCTGAAAGGCTCGTTGGTGGTAAATGATGTGACCGGCCCTCTCTCCAGGGGTCCCAACTTGGTACTTGTCCGACTGCCCTTGCCGGGGGACAAGTTGCAAATCAGGTGGAGGAAGAGGGCAAGAAAAAGAAGAAGAAGACGAAGGCCGCGCACGTCAGTGCCTGCCATTGGGGCACTTGCAGCTGACGCATCCATAGCCTTTTTCTCCCAAGATGGATTCTGACCAAATCAGGGTTGCGGGAAATGACCACTTCTGTGATACACCAAAAAGGGCTTCCCAAAGACTAACACCCCATATACAGGGGAGATTCCCTTGTATCACGGACCAAATCGACAATGAGCCGTTTTTTTGTTTGTTTGGATGCTTCAACCGTAGGCAACAAGCCATTCCAACCCGGTCGGGCCGAAAATCTTGGGTCGGTCAACATCAAGCAAAACATCTCAGCAACAGGTTCTCATCATGGGGGCTAGGGGGAAAAGAAGGGAGGGACAAAAATGCCAAAAAGCAACCCTTATTTAGCCCTTATTAGGGCCTTATTTAGGGCTTATTTGGGCTCCCTCCCCCTCCCCTCCCTCCCCCCCAGCCCCATAATCTCATCCCTGCTCAAAGGGGCTGGGAGCACTGGCATGGGTGCCATCTTCCGGGCTCCCTGGGTCACGGTCAGCACGGCAGTCCCATGTCTTTGGGGGGCTGAATGGGCATGCCCAGCCCCATGGCTTGAGCAAACGGGGGGCCAGGAGGAAAGAAAGGCCGAGGAAGACGAAGATGGAGAGAACCGGAAAGAGGCACGCCGAGTTGGGGGTCAAATTTCGGGCACCGATTTGGCAGGGTGCATGTCTTCTCACAGCGACCCACCTTTTTCTGGGTATGATGTGGCCCCCTTAGCTTCATGAACCAGCGGTTTGTCCAAGGAATACAAGAGCTGTGCTTCCGATTGGCAGGAATGACTGTACTCCCGCAATGTTCTGGATCAGTGACTCTTTTTCATTTTGGGATTTCAATTGGGCGACGACTGAACGTCCCGGAAAAGATGGAAGAACAGGGCTGGCATCTTTCTACTTTCGGCTCATGTCACATGCCTTAAGGGACAGCTATGGAGATTGGGACAGCTATGCCGTTCGCAAAGTGAGGAGTCAGGAGTCATCCAAGTTGGCATCCTTCCGGGTTTGCTTATGTTCAATTCGCCCCGAGTTTTCATGCACATTGTAATGAGTAATTATCGATCCCGTGCATCACTTCCATGCAAGCCCAAGTCAACACATGTCAACACAAGGGTTCAGCTCGTTAGGACGTGAATGTTGACCGGTTCGGAAACTCAGCGCTCCCAGTGTTACCAGGAATCGGACCGCAGGTTTTAGTTCTTCTTTCCATTTACCAGGGTTCCATCTGGGGTAGGGTGTTGGCTTTGTTTCCCAATCCAAGTGTCCGAATCAGTGTGCCCAGTTTTCCGAATCTGGGCTTCAAGTTTCCGAAACAGCAAGTCCCTGCTCTTTGGACGTTCCGGCCGGTTTGCTTGCGCTTGGAGCTGAGGTGGGTATGGGTCAAAATTAAACCACCAGGAATCGGACCGCAGGTTTTAGTTCTTCTTTCCATTTACCAGGGTTCCATCTGGGGTAGGGTGTTTTCAGCGCCTGTTTCGGTTTTTCTGTGGTCAGGAGTGCTTTTCAGGATGGTTTGGGTGCCACGGAGCTGAGGTGATTGTGACTTCAGTGTCCAGAGCCATTTTCATCCCCGGCGATGGCCTGGGCCTCAGGCATGACGATGGCATAACGGCCCCGAAAAGAGCCCGAAGCCATCCGCGCGCCTTGATGGGATATCCAGCCTAGCCCTTTGACCCTTGTTGGGGGGAGGGTTCCCCTACTAAAATAAACTACAGAAAAAAAGGGTACTCTTATTCTAACCTCTCTACTGGAGGACCTAGCAGCTTTTCTTACGCAGTATGACTTCACAGCCTCCTGCTTGCAACATGTTTGGCGTGCATGATATAGAGAGACACCTGCAGGAGAGCAACCGTATAGAGAGGTCGAAGAGGGTTTTGACACGCCCAATTGTCAAATTGAGTGCATGGAGGAGTCCGGACTTGTTCCGATTCCGTCCCTCTTCAGTTAGCATTCTCCAGAGTTCCGTTTCGGACTTTAGTCACTTTTTCGGTCTGGACCATTTGAGTGGTAAGCAACAAGTCCAGACTTTTTGCGGCCCATCCACTCAAATGAGGTTTATTCTTCTTATCCTCCTTCTCCAACATATTTTCATATGCTTTTGTTAGTGTAGAAATAGATGGATAAAGGGATGAAGAATGATGGAGGCATGGATTAACGTGCTTCAACAACTGATGGGGCTCTGAGAGCTGAGGCGACGCGAGCGAGCGGAAGGTGCTCTTCGCCGGGACCGGCGCCTATGCTGGCGGCCTTTGGGAGGGCTCCCTGATTGGCATGGAGGCGAAACGGGAAGCCGAAACGGGAAGCCGAAACGGACGGGAAGAAACGACGGGCGAGCTGAAGCTCAGGTGAGCCACGTCCTCACAACGCGGATAGATGAAGGTTAGTAAGGGACGATCTCAGCCAGAAATAGTGCGGAATTCCGCCTTCTTGGTTCTTTACATGGTGCTGGGTAGACCATTTTAGTGCCGGGTTTTGATTGCGACTCAGGTGGAGGTTTCTCAAAATTGGACTCGGACCCCGCCATTTGCCTGTAAAACCAACGAGGGTCCCCTTTAGGTGTCCAGTGGACTAGAAATTGATGTTCTTGCACACAAATTCTTGGGGTTTCTCAAAATTGGATTCGGACCCCTCCAGAAAGTTGGTTTGCTGTTGGGTGTCCCTTTACAAACCACAAAAAGGGATGCCCCCATATTAGGTGTCCAGTGGTCTAGACATGGACCTTCTTACACTTGACGATTTGTTCGGGGTGAAATGGAATCCGTTTTGACGTTTTTTTTTTTGGTTTCCGGTTTTGCAAACATTCATGGCCCGAAGTGAAGATGAAGGATTCTTTCAGATCACAGCGAGTGTCCTTTGAGCAACTGTCAGGCCAATGTTTCCGGGTTGCTTCTGTTTCTGTGAGGTGCTTCTAGAGATGAAGGTACAGTATATGGAGTGAGCCCACCTAGGTCCCCCAGTGGTGCCCTTTTACCCTTTCTTGGGGGAGGGTTCCCCTACTAAAATAAACTACAGAAAAAAGGGTACTCTTATTCTAACCTCTCTACTGGAGGACCTAGCCACATGCAGTGGAAGTGTTGTTCCACCTTCATGAGCATCTTTCTGTGGCACTTTTCCAGGCAAGTGATGTTGCGGTATGGACTACATCGTGAGTAAGTATGTGACGCAGAGGTCGTGGATGCAAACCCACCTGTCAAGCAACAGATATGCAACGCATGCAAGCACCCAAGCCGCTTGCCCGAGAAACAGATAGACTAATCGTCAGCAGGAATCGAGTTTGCCATCAAGGCGGTTACAAAGACGAGCGTGTGCAACCTACCTCCACCGTTTGAAGATGACTGAGACTGAAGCCAGTTCTTGGCAAGCTTTTTCAACTTCCTTCTGCAATATGGGACAGGGAAAGGTGAGAAGATGGGACAGAGAACGGATGTCGACCGAGCAAATATTCTGAGACGAACTCACTAGAGGTAGAGAAGAAAGAAGCAGTTTGCAATTGCGAAATCCGTTCGCGTCAAAGCGAGCTGTGAGTTGAGCAGCACAAGGCAAGTGCTCCCACTCTATCACTACATCCGGCATACACCGGCAATGTCAGGGACGCATCGTTTTATGTGTGAAGCATGTGCGTGGGGATTGTGCAAAACATCTGGCTTGGGACAGTTCTGGCGTTGCATTTTCAGAAGTCATGTTCTTGAGCTGGCCAATTTACCAAGTTTCGCATTGAGGCTTTTGGTGTCCCACATAATTGCTGCACAAGCATGACTTCACGAGGATGTTACCTAGGTAACCCAGTAGTGCCCTTTTACCCTTTTTTTGGGGGAGGGTTGCCCTAGACTACAGAAAATAGTTGGTACCCTTATTCTAACCTCTCTACTGGAGGACCTTGTTTCTTCGCCCATCTTATTCTGGGTATGTGGGTGGTGACGGGATTCGTTCACTGGGTTCATGCAGAAAGCTGTGCGCCGATGCACCAGGAGCGGAATGTCAAGGAGGCATTCGGGGCGGGACACGGCGGCGAACGCATCATGCACTTGACTCCTTGGGCGACTTGAATGGTGGTGCTGGTGCTGGTGCTGGTGCTGGTGGTGGTGGTGGTGGTGGTGGTGGTTGTGGTGGTGGTGAACAGAAAACCCAACTGCTTTTTGCTGGCAAGGATCTTAGCCTCGTCCCACAAGTGTTGTGTGTTGTTTCTGTCCGCTGTGCTATATGGGTGAATTCTAGTACTCTGGGAGATTCTGCAAGTCGAGATTATTTTCTCCGCTCCGGGATAAAACAATCTCACCTATCCAGGTACATTTTCCCGACCCTGTGGCCCTTTTTGCTGGTTTGTGACGTTCAGCTGTTCAGCTTTGACAGCTTGAGATGACTCTCACTGGATCAAACTGAAAGGAAGCTGAAGATAGGTCCCATAAACACCATGCCAGTTTGCAACATCAGCACGGTCGTTATACGGTCGTTCATCAAGAAGCACATTTGCAGCATGTCAGCACGAAGCAAACAAAATCCAAGCCAAACTCACTCCAAGACATTCTGACATGTACCCTGCTTTCGTGGCAGAGTTGGGCCATCAATCTGGGTCTGTTACCCTTCCGGGTGACCGGACAACGCTCCGAGCCACTTACACAAATGAGCCACAATCAAAACCCGGGTAGATGAAGGTAAGTAAGGGGCAGTCCCAGCCAGAAAGAGCTGCGGATCTCCGCCTTCTTGGTTCTTTACATGGTTCTGGGTAGACCATTTTTAGTGCCGGGTTTTTAGCAAGTGACTCAAATCAAGTAGACCTGCGGGCGTGAGGTCGAGCTGGGATCTGTCACCTCACTCTAAAGCCTTGGGTCGGCCCGCCCTCCAGGAAGCGAAGCAAGCTCTGCGATCATTCGCGGTTGCTTGCGTGGAAGTTGAACTGGATTCTGGGCATCTGGAAATCGACTAGCTGGATCCTCCAGGATTTTGATTTTCAGAACTAGAACATATATCACTCGGTGACTGACTCAAAAGCCGTACCAATGCTTGCTTGCTAATCATGGTTTCGAAGATTTATGGTCTTCACATGTCCAGGTGTTTTGAAGTCTTTTATCGCAGGTGCCCCCTTTTCGGGGTTGTCCTCCATTCGGAAACCACAGGGAAGTCCTCACCCGTACGGCGAGAAACAAAACCGAACACGCCACCTGCACCGCCGGCCACTCTCTCTCTCTCTCTCTCTCTCTCTCTCTCTCTCTTTTTTTCTTCTTTTCCAAATGCGCCACTTAAAGGGGCAGGGCTTAGTAAGTGGTTAGTACGCCTAGACTTATAGCCCACAAGAAACCATGGTTTTGTCAGTCTCCGTTCAGTGGGTTATAACTCACCAGGCTTACTCTACCGTCGGGTGGGGCCCTGTGCCCCTCCAAAGGTAGTTTGATTCCCCACATTTCATGCCGGGACACCCGCTATTAAGAACCAGGCTTACTCACCACTGAATATGTGGGTGTTCCCTCCAAAAGTGCTGAATCCCCACATGTCAGCCCGGGACACCCCCTAGAATAACCGGGGTTTATTAATATGCGGTCAACGTGAAGCCTCGTTATAGCCCACTGAACAGAGACTGAAATAACAGCAAGGCTTGGGTTATAACTCACCAGGCCGGGACGATCACCACTTCCCTGACGTACCCGATCGCATCAATCGCGATCGCAGGATCCCTTGGAGCAGCGGATCTCGCAGACCATGGCCTGCCAACTCCGCGCCAAGCTGCCGAAGCACGTCCAGGCGCAAACGGCTCCGGAGGCGAAACGGGTCGTTTGTCGTTTGTGATGATATGGGTGGCTCGTCTTTTTTTAGGCGACCCCCAACAGCATATTTTTAGACCCCCCCCCCAAAATGGTGGTGGTCCGTTTGGTTTCAGGGCAAGTAACAAGGAAAACACATACTAAAAAAAATGGGGGTTGATCAAAAGGTCCCATGTAAACATGGGATGACCATTGGTTGGACAACCACGAAAGAAGATGTGCTATTTCAACCACGTGGGAAAAGCAACCCATGCTCATTTGGGGGCCGAACGGAATATTGATCAACCCCCAGATTCTTTCTGGCAGCATGTTAGAGCCATGTTACATTGCCCAAAAGACCAAAAGCCAAAAGAATTGAATCTCCAAAAAACCAAACTGCTAAAATCCAAGTAGTTCTCACAATGTTGTTGCGATCTATACTTGTACATGGTTCTTTTCCAAAACCGATTTCGCGGTTTTCCTTGGGTTTTCGTGGCTTTGATCCTTGGAAAGGATACCCCTAGAATTCGTGCGAAACGCCGATGTCCGGATGGTCAGACTGAAAATTTGACCAGTTTGGGTTCCGTGCTTTTCCTGTTTCCCCGAGGAAAAAAGAAAAAAAGCAGCCGACAAAACAAACATCCATCTCGACCATTGTGTTTGGAGGGTGGGAGATTTGTGGATTTGGTTTGCGACATATTTTACTGAAGGTTTCGTTCAAAGGACCTAAACAAAAACATCACGCGAAACATGCGTAATTCCGATTGGTGTCGGTGAACAACATGGATGCTGGGTGTGTTGGTCAACATTTGTATGAGGGGGCTGTGGGATGTGTCTCCCCGCACTCCTTGCGAGACCAAACGTTGCAGGCACCGAGGTAGGATTGCGGGGAATTTTTCGGATCTGGCTTTACATAGGGGGCGACATCATTCCCAAGTTGATTTCTGAACCAGGGGCTGTACCTGACCTTTTCAACACCTCAATCATTTATGTGAATGGGGAACAGCGAAATCCCGGTGACCCGGTCGAAATCTCTAAAGGAAGGCGCGTGAATTGGCCAAACTAATCCATCAAGGAACTCCCCGGTGATCGATTCGTTTGGCTTCACGCGCCTTCCTTTAGACCTGACAGGGCAGGCTGGCGGCCGCCCTCTTAGCCGCAGGTGACGCATCTGTCCATCTCGCCCAGCAAGCGCTGGCTCATCGTGGGCTTTGCAGATGGGCTGCGGCCTCGGAAGCGATTTGGAGATCAAAATGGATGCAGAATGATTTTGAAGGTCCATGACGAGGGGTCTACACATCTGGGCATCTTGGGCACCATGGTTTCCCTTGAAGAGCAAGTTCATGACCGGGTACCACAGCGTAACCTGTAGCTTGGCAGCCCCGGTTGGCAGGCAACAAGTCGATTTGGCGGTTGGGTTTTGGGGTGAGGCTGGGACGCGACCTGTTTCTGAAGCAGAGAATGCGACATCCTGCTTCGAATGCAGAGAAATAATGCTTGCCAGCCGCACCTGGTGTGAAGTTCTGCGGGAATTGGCTTCCCCAGAATTAGTTCCCCTTTTTGCTTTTTTGCTTTTTTGGGGTCCCCTTTGTTTTCCACTCACCAGGCAAAAAAGGTATTTTTGCTGGGGTCCGATTTTTCCAGCCAAGTTGTGTGTGATTGACCTTGAGCCTATTCTCGCTCGATTCGGCACGGCCTGGGCGATAGCTTGAGATGCTTGAACTGGGTCGGAGAGTGATGCGCAGGGAGTGTTCATCCCCGAATGGCTCATGTTGGAAGCATAGGTGTCCTTGTTGGTTGTTTAGAAAAGTAGATGGGCCTGGTTTACCAAGTGGTTTACTCATCTACCAGGGCCATCTAGTTGCCCTAAAAGGACACCTGTGGTTGGAAGTGCCTGAAACTTCAGGGTCAGCTGTCGAAGGGTCAACATACGTCTAGATACGAGTCGCCCAGGTCACCGCACGCGCAAGAATCTTTCTCGTGTGTTTCCCCCCCCCCCACCAGCTAACATCATGGAAGTGCAAAAAGGCCCTTTCCAAGAGCAAAGTCTTCTTTCTACAGGGGTCTGTGCACTTCCATGTTAGCTGGTGGGAGGGTATTCTTCTTGTTTTCTGTCCGAGAGCTAGCTTTCAATTAGAGGCTGTACCACGGAAGCTCCTTCTTGACTTCCTTTGATAAACCACAAGAAGCTGCCGCGTACAACAAACTCTGTTGGAGTTTGTGGAAATGGTGGACCCCCTTTGCGTTTAGAATTGATTTTGGAGGGAAACCAAACCATTGGTTCGGAGCCACCATTTTGGGAAACAACCCGCTTGTAGGGGCACCCAAGAAGTGCCGAAGATGACTCGTCCATCAGGCGTGTGTGGCTGACGCCTCGGCACGGTGGATGCTTCATGTGCACCCACGTAGCCGACGGCGGCAGCGGTGCCGCCCACCCAGCCTGTTTTGCACCTTGTGATGTGAGTGGAAGACACCCCAGCTGGCTAGCTTAGTAAGGGCTTCTGCTTTGTGGCCAAGAACATATAACGTTGGTTCCCACATAAACCTTTTGTGTTGGTAAAACCAAGAGTCGATATGGTTTGAAGGGAGCGCACTGGAGGCAAAGAAGATGTTGTTGGAGGTGATTCAATTGCATGGAAGGGACTTCTCTGCAGGTAAGCAACACTGTCCAGGCCATGCTCGCTCCCACTCACTTTGTCAATCATGAATCTTGCTGGGCATGAACAGGTCTAGCCCGCTAAACATTTCATCGTGGCACAAAAAAAGCAATATGCAATGGTCAACATGACTCAAACATATGGTTGTGCCAGAGATGTTGATGTAATTCATCAGGATTTGTGTGTCCGAGTTCCCAATTTTGATAAGAATGCTAGACACATATTCACCCGGGACATTGGAGTCATCAGCGCCATAGGCCATTGGGTCCGATTTGTCTTGCAATGCGCAGTTTCTGCTGCCAGCTACCTAACCAAAGATAGCCAGGGAAACGCCATAGTGCCATTGTCCGGGGTCACTCTCCAAAAGAGGTGGGAATCGAGCCTCCAAAAGAGGTGGGACCGCAGAAATATGTCTCTTCTCTATCTAACTGGATGACATTTGTATTTCTTGCCTCTTCTTGTACTCAGCTGCTTGACAATGGGTTGGCCTTTAGACAGAGGACACTGGTTCTTTTGGTTGCCATCCTTCTAGCTTGCGTGCCGACTTGCGGGTCTTGTTGCTTCGATAGTCAGGGAATGAGAATGGGAACGAGCCCAAGCAAAAACCATCCCACCTCTTTCTTTTTTTCGGGAATCTCCCACCCGGTTGCATTGCCACCACCCGGACTCCCGGTTGCATTGCCACCCGGACTGGTTCTTGTTCCCTTGCCCTCGCAGCCTCACGAACCCCTCCGCGCGGGGCCACGGCTTTGGCCAGGTGAACTCGGTGTCGATGCAGGAGGACGAAACGTTGCGTGGCGCTCAGCAGAGTCCGTTGAGCCGTCGAAGCGCACCCCTTCGAAGGTTGGCGAATTACTCGCGATGGGTGCGAGAGCTAGGGAATGGCCTTCCAGGTCTTGGGAATCAACCTGGGGATTTTTCAAGGAAACCATACGAGCTTGTAAAAAAAGAGTCATTCCCCTCATTCCCCAGCCTTGCGATTGGTGCGATTGTTAGGGAATGACTGAACGAGTCCGGGTTTTGGCAATGAACCGGTATTGGGGATTCCCGAAGAAAGGAAGCCATCAGGAATTGTTTAGAGGGGGCGTTGCACTTCTCATTGCCTGCTGAGAACCAGCAAGGATCATCTTCATGGTGATTTCAGACAATGGCAAAGTGTTCTGCTAAAGGCAGCCATGACAAAACTGCCCACAGAGCGGGTTTTTGCATGCGGCACATATGCCGGCAACCCTTGGACTGCGAGTCGTCTCATGCCTGCCAAGCCATTTGAGTGAGTACAACATCCTCTCCCGGAGGTTGGCTTTTCTTGTCTTGCAAGCCATGCCTGTTGTCAGGCACTTTGCTGACCGCGCTGTGTCAGGGTCCTTTTTTGGGAAGATTGCTTTGGAGTCGCGCGGCGTAGTTTTTGACCATCTCAGCCATCCCAGGATTTGGGCGGTCAAAAAAAGTTGGTAACGGGTCCCAGAATGGCAAGCCACCGATCGGTAAATGGACAATTCAAGCCTCAAACCTGCGGTCCGATTCCTGATGGTTCAATTTTGACCCATACCCCATTTGCTCTGGCTCAATGCGCCAGAATCCTCTTTCCATGGATCGGCCTTTCGCATTTTTTTTGTCCCATGGGCGCAATATTTTTTTCTGGCTTGGACGAATTCCCACGCGGGAAGAGTAAAGACCGGGGTGAAAGGTGGGAAACATAGCAAGGAGATAGGTCTGCCAGAAGGCTCCATGTGAGCAACCTCCAAGGCAGTCGGGCATGGCGTTGGAGACTTCGGTGCTTCATCGTAGATCTGTGCTAGCATGATCTTTACTTTGAGAGACCCCCGTAGTCACGATTGGGCAATGTTGATTCAGCACTCTTTCCGCAGGGGTTGGTTCAAGAGTATGTTGTATCTCAGATGAAGTAGGTGATACTGGATATTATATATCGTTCTGGGCCAGCATCAGCTTGCAAAAGGCCCAAGAGAGACATCATCTTCCCGGGGCTGTTTTGGTGCTGCACATGTGCCCTTTTGCCCATTGGAGTGCGTGTCAAGTGCGAGCTCTCCGCCGCATTGACATGACCCAAGCGAAAAGGGGGCCAAGGTGGGGGACTTCATCAAGCTGAGGGTTCCAATTTCGGGGATGTGTTCCAGCACTTGGCTGGGCTGTTCAAAGGTAATCCTTAATCCTTACCTGGGGTTACGCAAGGGATCGGTCCCCTTTGTAGTGGCTTTCCTATAGGGATTTTGGAAAATCGGATTGGCCAACCCAAACCATTTTGAACAGCCCAGCTTAGCCTGTGGCGCTCAACTTTCCAGACGCTCGTTCAAAGGATGGTGGTGGCTGCGGGCGATGGCTCCTTGGTGACCTACACCATCAGCGACGGCTTGCTTGAGCTTGCAGAGAACTACGTCCACGGCCAGGCAGAAAACAAGCAGGGGAGAACGCAAGTGGGTGTGTGCAGAAGGGTTACTCCAAGAAACCAGAAGGTATAGAAAACCGAGAACTTTCCTTTAAGGCTTGAATCTGAATGAAGCACTTGCCTTCTGAAAGACACATAGCAGTCAGGATGTTTCGTGCAATATCATGGAAGCTCAATGCATCCACTTTCTCATTGCTCGGACCTGATAGCTTGCACCCAGGTTCCTATAGGCTTCAATCGCCAGTTTAAGCATTGCTTAATGACTTGCTGGTTAGAACGGGGTAAACTATGGCAGGAGACAACTGCTTGGTTACAACCCGCAGAGTCCCGGGCGCTATGCCCAGCATCATCAGGTTTCACGTTGCTGGTAGGAGGTTTATCAATTTGTGGGTGTGGTGTAATCATCAACTACCAAGCGCTCTTCCCAAATCATGTTGCAGGAGGAATCATGAAGCGGATGACGGGTTGGTCTGGAGTTATCAGGCTGTCCGCGGTACACTCAGATGCCCGTTGTCATCAAGACAGTGCAAATTGACATTGTTCCTTGCCATCGCTTTCAGGGCATGATGGTCCAGAACATCTAGTTGCCTTCAAGCATCATGCCCCGGTTTATGATGCCCAATAAATCTGCAAAAAGGGTTGGGTGCACACTATCCATGGATTGTGAAAGGGGCAGCAGCAAGATGCGAGCTGCAGATTGCCAGACTGTGTGATGTCTTTGTGCACAGAGCCCGATCCAAGACACTGATCTCATAGATGACCATCGACATATTGAAGCAGTACTTCCAAATGTTGGTATTTCATTGTTCTCTTTGCTCTTTGCCAATCATATCATAGATGTATGTACTATACTCAAAGGATGGCATCTGCCAATGAATGGCTCGGTCACCTCGGGTTTGCAGTGCCGCAGAAGACCGAAGACCGCGGCTGGTCTGAGAATTCGCGCTGAGAAAACGGAGGGTCACTAACTTGATACGTAGTGATCAAGTAACAGGTGGGCAATCAAGTAACTTGATGCAAGTCAATGGACAATCAGCGGATGGTAATTAACCAGATGATGCAAATGGTCATTAACTTGATGCAAGGTAATTAACTTGATCATCAAGCAACAGGAGCCAATCTGATCAACTGGTCACTAGTTCAATTGGTCAGCTAATGTCTTGGTTTGTTCTGCCCGCTAAAAACCTCTTGATGAAACTAGAGAGCAGAAGTCGGGCGGCTCCCACAGGGCGTGGCAACCAAACCAGCCCAAAGGGTTTCAAGGGGCCTTTCAGAGGCGCCCAAACGGAGACCTGTCAAATCCTATCCACCAAAGCGATTTTTTCGGTATTATATCCTAATAGGTTTTCCAGTAGAAAGCAATTTTGGTTGGTATTCTATCCTAGGTTTTCCAGTAGTGCGAAACTTTCGCACCCTTTTTTGGTTGGGAGGGTTCCACTAGAGGAAAAAAGTGGGTACCCTTATTCTAAGCCCCCTACTGGTTCGGACCTATATTTGGGACAGGACACCCTGGAAGCCCTTTAAGCAACATGAGGGCTTCAAAAAGTCCTCATGTGATGAACAGGTTGGTTCACTCACTTGGGTGTGGCTCAAACTTAAAGGGTCACGTAGGTCTTGGTCCATATTTCCACTTACCAGGGCAAGCCATTTTGGTACCGGTTGTTTTGAGGCACAGCCACTTGGTCATCCTTGGCACTCTGGCAGTGCCCCCCTCTTTAGTCAGCTTTCTATGACACTTTGCAGACCACAGTTTAATGCGGTTGCATGCTTGATTCTCGAAGTAGCACAAGTAGGGAGCAAAGCTTTCCCCGTAGTCTATCGACAACAACTCTCATTTTTGAAGCTATCCAGTTGAGTAGTGGACCTCATTGACTCGAAGGGTGAATTTGTTGCTTATCCATCATTCTGCTTCAACGGAAGATGGACTAGATATGAGGAGTGGTGTTTGGGTGTTTGGAATTTCAGCTTGGTTGTTTAAAGCCACCGTTTCACCTTGCACCACGTGACACGTGATTTTTCAACTTGGGTTAGTTTGTAGTCTTGGGCTCAAATTGTGAAGTCTTCATTGCCAGGTCATTTGGCCAATGTGAGTAATTGAGAATTCTCTCCTAATCATCGCGGAGTACGTGGGGGTACCCAAATTTCGCACAACCAAGGAGGAACCCCCAATTGCCCCATAACCTCCTGGGGAAACACTTGAGCCACAATCAAAACCTGGGCAGATGAAGGGTAGGAAGGAGAACTCCAACGACAAATGGGTGCTGCAGCCGCCCTGTTAATTCTTTCCATGGGGCTGATGGGTAGACCATTTTTAGCACCAGGTTTTGATTGTGACTTACCGGTACTTGAAGTTTTGCCCGTGCGCGGTCCCATTCACGTTCACTCGGGAGGTGAACTTGGAGGATGCAGCGCTGGAGCTAGAGAGTGCTATGCCTGAGATGCCGGATGCGTCCATGGAAGGCAGGACAGTTTACCGAGAAGGGAACTTGCGACACAGGGTCGATTTTTGTGTCATATAAAGAGTGGGTGAACATACCTTTCAGTGAGTTAAATAGAAATCCAACCACTAAACACTAAAAGCTAAAAAAGCTAAGGGGATGGCTGGGAACCACCAAGTTGCTGTTGGATACGGGGCACCTGTGCTGTGTGGTCCTTGAAAGTGAGGCTGTCAAGCTACGTGTCGACATCAAATTTCACCACGGTTGCCGTGTGGAATTCTGGACGAGGAAGTAAATCGACCTTGCGAGAAGGGCCGTGTGTGTGTGCGTGTGTGTGTGTGTGAAAAGTGAAGCGGTGCCGCATTCAAGTTACAAGTTAGGCACTTTCACCTTGCTGCAAGCTGGCTTTGGCATTCCTATCTCAAAGCAATAATACTTGTCGATTTCCGCTCGGAGCACTGCGCAAAGCCAAGCCACTGCAATGGCCAAGGTCAGGCAAGAGTCAGGAGTAAGTTCCTTGCTGCGTGGCCATATTGCGCAATCACAAGCCCTGGACCAGAATGACTGGAACCTGTGTCTGAATACACACACGTAGGCGAAGTGATCAGTTTGTCCCAGCCAGTTCACAAAGCACTCAGATCTATCGATTTTGTCCTCCAAGACTACATCACTTTGATCGTGTCGATCCCAAAAAAAGCTCGAACAGAGTGAGCCACGGACAGAGATTCCTGGTGAGGCGACCGTTTGGGATATCGGGAAGCGGGTCGATCAGAACCCTTAGCTGTTAAGTTAAAGGCTTCTATGGTCAACCTCAAGCCAGATTCGTTTTAGCAGGGGATCTGAAGCTGAAGCCAGCCCAGGTAATAAGTCAGGTACCCCTAATTGGTGGTTCGGATTGGTGGTTTCGGATTTGAACCTCTGGTTCTTGGAGAGGGTAAATGGGAAGCCCAATCTAAACTAAACCACCAAACCACCAAACGAAGCCACCAATTGGAGGAACCTGAAGAATTCTGTTTTCTTGTGTTGCCCTCCCTCGCACTAACATGGCAATTGAGAGGCGGTCCCTTCGAAAGGAAATTATTCTTCCAGGTACCTTTTGACAGGTGCCATGTTAGTTGGGGGAAGGGTATGCGTTCAAGCCCGCGCCTTGAGCAACATTGTGCATGCCATGATAAGTCCAACATGACCTGCTTTTGAACCATCACTACGCACATCTCTGAGTAGCATGAATCAGAAAACACGAAAACATAGTAGGATGTCCCAAGTGTGGCACTGGTGTCAAGCTTCCCTTTTCTTTTCGGATTTGCCACCAGAATCAGAAGGTGGAGTGCCCATGTTGAGATTCGGGATCCGCGGGTGGTCCAAGGAGGGGGCTCCCTGCGGCTCCCTACAGCTACACGACCCAACGAACCCAACAAATCCCCAAGGAACCCGAAAAGGGCTCCCACGAGACTCACCTGGTGCGCGCGTGCCAGGCTGGAGTTTGCCACCACGCGAGGCACCAGGCGAAGCACCGAGGGAACCGATGGGCGGACAGGATGGGGGCGTTGTTGCAAGGAGATTTCGGTGCAGTGGGTGGAAATCGATTTTATTTCTTTTGGCCGGATTCAGGGTCATCTTGGTTGAAGTCATTTTTTTCCTTGTTGAAATTCGGAGTCTTTCGGCACAAGTTCAAGCGCATAGGACTCTGAGCAATTTCGCAACAGGGGCAAAACTCTCGTGGAAAAGGATGTAAGTGGTTAAGCCTGGTTCCAACCCACTTAGGAGACAAAAAAAACATGGCAAGCGGGTGATCGCTGGATTTCAGCTGCTGGATGGTCGGATTTCGCACCCTTCGCGGCCAGAAACTCCGCCGGAAGTCTCAATTCTCTCGAACCCATCTCACGAAGCCAAGCTATAATACTAGGGTTACTAGGGCCCAGAAATTCAGCGGGTGGCAGTCTGAATACCAGTTCCGGTTCCGGGGGTCCATCCCCCTTTAAAACCAAGCGCTTTGCCTGTTCTCCACGGTTCGAACTCGCATCGTTTGAGTGGCTCAGTCTTTCTGCGCTGACAGCCTGCGGAACCAGCGTTTTGGAGTCGGATTCTGCCTGCACGACCTACATTCAGATTCAGATTTGGGGCATAGGCAGCAATCACAACAAATTGGCTTGTCCCCGGAATAATGAAGTCTTTTACGGATTTCGGGGGGGGGGGGTCGGTTAGCTTTGACATGCCACTTGAAAGACAGAGGCTGGAGGCGAGTCCGCGTGCGGAAGAGTCCTTGGATGCCAAAGAAGTCCTTCGGATGCCTTCGGATAGGAGTCCGTTGAATCCATTGCGATATATTCATGTTACGCCGAAACCGTGATGGGTTCAAAAGCAGCTTCAAGCAGCACAGCAGCTTAGTTAAGCAGGAGGTGCTGAAAGGTGTGCGCCAATTACAACAATAAACCCGTCCGAAATTGCCAAAAGCAGAGTCGTTTGCGCAGTCACGTAGGGGCCGCCAAGTGCTAGGCCTCGTGCGAAATATTTGTGCAAGACAGGTATGTGACATTCACAGCAGTGCAAATCCTGAGTTTGGGTTCCCTTGTTGCCCCCTGTGGACGGCCACAGAGCAAATCGGCACAGGTGATTCTGTTAGACGCTTGTGCGTGTGTGTGTGTGTGTGTGTGTGTGTGTGTGTGTTTTTGCAATTTGACAGGCGTGGTCGCGATCAACCCGGATATCACGGACACAAAGCACTACTCCATCCAGGAGAGCTGTTCATATTTTGCCAGAAATTCGCATGAAGCAATGCCAAAGCGGCGACCGTGGCAAACAGAAATGGCATAGCACGAGTTTCCTGATTATCCAATTCCAAGAATCATAGGTCAGTTTTTGTTATTGTATTCATCCCACAAGCAGGATGTTTTTCGTGGTTTTGCAGAAGCGGCTCAATGGGCATTGCCGACATATCCGCATTTGACCCGCGAAACCTCAAGTAGGCCCCTGATTCACGCTCCCACTCGAATGGAAGGTATAGCATGTTTTAATAACTGGGAGTCAGCAAGGTGCGCGAAACTTCAAGAGAGGGCGGTTCATGTTGTTGGGGGACATCCGAGGACAAAACTATTGGACCAGGGACCAATTCCCTGTGAGGTGCCATGTTGGGGTGAGGGCAAAATGACGTTCAAAGGCCGCTTCTCATTTGGGCGTGTTTTTCTGAGCGCAAACGTTTCACCTTGTTTTACCGGGAAACCAAAAGGAACACTACGATGCTTCCCCAACGGATGAAAGCGATTTGTGGTCCATCGGCCCAAAAAAGACTTCGGCAGCTTGCAGGGAGGCCGGTTCCGCTGTGCCGAGCTGGCCATGGGTCAAAATCCCAAAGCCCGTACCCCCAGTGAACATCCGATTCAATCCAACCACCAAAATAGGTTCTAAACTGGGTGGTGAATTCACCTACCAACCAAAATGGGATTCCATTGGGTTTGACAACCACGGCCAGCCTTCTTTTATTCGGGGGGGGGGGAATCCAAATCCCTGCATTTGCTTAAGACGTTTTGTCATTTTCCCTTTTTGGTTTCGGGAATCTATCACACATATTTTCGCATTATTATTATTTTCCGGCGGGCGGACAGGCACATGGAAGGTATATCAAATTACCCTTGACTGGTGGTTCAGATTAGGCTTGGATTCGGACTTGAACCCGTGGTTCTTGCAGAGGGTACTTAAACGGGAAACCACAAATCCAAACCACCAATCCAAACCACCAATCCAAACTACCAAGAATCCGGGCTCCAAACCACCAAACAACGAGGGTAATCTGATTTATGCCTTTCATCTGCTTTTTCCCCCCCCCCCAGACAAAGAAATCAGAACACATGCTCCAAACCACCAATACCAACGAGGCGAGCCACCACCCCAAACCACCCTTGAGGGAAGCTGAGTATCGCCGGACTTGTGGTCTCCACTGTCCACGGCGTGAGCCTTCCCCGGTGGTACACGAGGGAAGCTGAGCTAGGTTTTCCAGTAGTGCCCTTTCTCACCCCTTTTTTGGTTTGGGAGGATTCCCCTACTAAGATAGACTACAGAAAAAATAGGGTACCAACTTCTTCGAACCTCTCTACTGGTTTGGACTCAGCCTATGGTTTCCTTTCAGGGAATCCCCTTCCGGTTCATTCCCCATCCCTGGGTCATTCCCCACAAGATAAAGCAAGAAGCTTAGGATCATGCGTCACATCTCTTGCCTTCGTTCAGGTACCCGGGTACCCGGAAAAAGCCGAGTGCTCCGCTTCGAACATTTCGGAGTCCGCGCGCCCAAAGCTCTCGCGACGCTCGCGAGGACGCGAAGCTGAAGGCCGAGGAGGACTCCGCGCGGGCCGCGGCGGAGCTGAAGAAGCTGCGCCGGGCGCTTGGAGTCGGTAGAAGGAGTGGGTGGCTTCCGTTGGCTTAATCCTAGGTCCCCCAGTAGTGCCCTTCCTCACCCCTTTTTTGGTTGGGAGGGTTCCCCTACTAAAATGGACTACAGAAAAAAAGGGTACACTTCTTGTAACCTCTCTACTGGAGGACCTAGAATCATTGGCTAAATGGCCATGGGGCATAACCTATGGCTCCATTTTGGGGTGGATCAACATCCATTTGCCACCTCTTTTGATGTTCATCAGGGGTACAGAGTTTTGGGTCAAAATCCAATTCGTGCCCCCAGTGAACATCCCAATCCAACCACTAAAATAGACTAAACTGGTTGGTGCACCTACCCCAACATGGTACCATTGGTTTTGACCCACGGCAAAATCAGGGCGAAGCTGCCCCCCCCCCCTTTCGTTTCTTTTCTTTTTCACACTGAAACCAAGAAGGGATTGGCATTTTCCAATTTCGACCCGCGACTCTTCCATTTTTTTGTTTAAATACCCCCGTTGTTTGTTTCAGGGAACTTATTGATTTTCTGGATTACTGGGACCTTTGCACTTATTTTTTCCAGGGGGCGAGAAGCAAATGGAAGCTTGGGAGTATGTTCCATGGGGTCCAGTGGGAGATCCACGTTTGAAGCTTCTCCAAATTGGCGTGTCGTTTTTGGGATTCGGAGCCCTTCGGTTTTTCCTCTTTGGTGTCTCCTTACATCCACCAGCACGGCATTCACCTAGGAAGAAGCACCCAAACATTACTTCTGGTGGGAAATCCGTTGAATCTTCTGAATTCAGAGGATCATCCTGAGGATGTCACTTTGGACCCAGGAACAAAAAGAGACCACTCCGAATCCTAAAGGTACAAGCCTGGTGTAACTTTTCAGGATCCTTCTGCAACCGCCACCCAGCCAGAAGTTGGGCCTTGGGACCGGACTTCTGTTGGTTTCCCATCAGCAGTCCTTGGATCGGAACCAGGGAGGCCGCTCAATTTTTTCGGCCGCCGTTGCTTCTGTGGTTCTGTTTTGTTTTGGGCTTGGTCTTGTCTCCTCACTTCCTGAGTTCCTGGGCTTGAGTCAACTTTTTTGGGAAGACCATTCTTTTTGTGTCATTCAGAAAGTCCGGGCTTTTTGGTTTGGCCCATCCGCTCGAGCAGAATGCAAAGTCGCCATCCAACAATCAGATCATGGGGGCTGGGGGGGAGCCAAAATAAGCCCTTTATTAAACCCTCAATACCTGTGGCTCCCTCAGAGTGATCATTTCCACACTGTTCGGGAAAAACACGTTTTTGGGCAACAAAACCGACCGGAGGTAGAAAAACATGTGTTGTCTAGACGGTGTGGAATTGTAGCTCCAATGGGGCCGCAGGCAAGGCCGTATTTCGGGCTTAGTTGGGCTCCCTCCCCTCCCTCCCCCAGCGAAGCTGAATGCGTTCCTAGGGGTGCGGGAGCGCATCAGCGAGATCCGGGACGAGCTGGCGGAGCTTCAGGTGGGCAGTTCGAAGGGGGCAGCTCGAAGGGGGAGAAGCCATGGGTGTCCTTTTTAGGTTAGTTTGGCTGGAAATAGATGGCACTGGTTTAGATGGGTTTTATTCCATTTAGCAGGGACCTATGGTAGAAGTTATGGGAGTGGCTGGAAGGGAGCCGGACTCGGAGCTCTGGGTCTCCGATTTGGGTTTTGAAGACGGAGCCCTCGGGAGCTAAAAGTGTTGGAGCCGCGGTGCAGGATTTCGTGCATCCAGTAGCAATGGTTCCTGGAACCTTCATGGGATTTGGTGTGCGTCCTCCCCCACGGGATTTAGTGTGCGTGCTCCCCCAGGCGATTCCATGGAACCCAAAGACTTGGTTTCATTTGGAGAGGCCAACTGAGGGAGCTTCCATGCGAATCTGAGGGAGTGTAAGATGAGAACGGAGAAGGCTGGCATCGGCTGGCTGCAACAAGAAGCGGAATCCATAGAGCGACTGACCACTCCACCAACTAGCCAAGCAGCCAACCGCTAGCCAACCAACACCAATGAATACCACGCCACAGCCATGACGACCACCGCCACCGCCGCCGTATGAATCACCACCTCCACTGCCATCACTATCATCCTGGAAGGCTCTTCTGTCAACATCCATGATTGTCAAGACTAGGTCCCCAGTAGTGCCCTTTTACCGTTTCTTTTTGATTGGGAGGGTTCCCCCTACTAAAATAGACTACAAAAAAAGGGCACCCTTCTTCTAACCCCTCTACTGGAGGACCGAGAAAACATCATGCAAATTCCAGCAGGCAAAGCGCAGCAGCACAGAACCTGCAAGCCGCTTTATCCGTTTCGGTGCAGGGTGGCTCCCCGGCGCAGACCGGGAAACGCCCAACGGGGCGTTTCAAAGAGTTGGGAAGACATGACGTGGCAGCCTGGAAATCCATGGACACAGAAATCGGCAGGAAAGCATGGCACTGTTCCCTTGAAATGGAATGATGATGATGTTGCTGTAAAGACAAACAAACAAACAAACAAACAAACAAACAGTGGTTTCCCATAGTTTCCAGGCGGTGCAGGGTTTCAATGGAAACCACCATTGAACGGCTCAAAAACGAAGGCGCTGGGGTGGCTCGATGCCGTCCAGGCCAAGAACGCCACGCTGAAGGAGGCGCAGCTCTCCTCCGGAGACATGGTGGTGGACCAAGAGCGCGGGAGCCCAGCGCCGCTCCACTCGCCGAGTGCGGCCCCGTGCCGCTCGGGGTGCGAGCGCCCCGGTTGGGCTGTTGAAAGGGAGAACAAGCGCGATTCCTTGCTTTTGTAGAGGCATTCATAGCGTGGTTTGATGTCATTGTTGTCCTCCCTCCCACTTCCCATTGCCATTTTTTTTTTTAAAAAAGCTTTTGAGACGCATCACTGCATCACATTACACGTCCTGCATACCTTGTATTGCCTTTCGAAGAAGCGTCACACGCGTTTGGTTCTGGTGCTTGTGCCATGGCCAAATCACTGGCTACTTGGGACTACGATTTGATGGCTACAAGGACCTTCACAGAGGGAGCCACAGACAGGACCCAATTCGGCCACAGGACTAGTTGAGAGGGCAAGTGTTCGACCGCGATTGTGAGCAAGCCATGACCGTTACGACCAGTTTTCTCCGCTGGCAGAAAAAATATCTGCCGTTTTTTGACCTGCCAGGTACATCAACCACCTGAGAGAGGACATGGAGCACCAAATCGAGCAGGTGCACCCTCTTGTGCCGCCAAACAAGACGTCTCTGTTGCCCATTGGTGCCCTTTTTCCTTTTCTTGGGTAAGCGTTGCCCTTTAAACTCAACCAACAGAAAAAGGCTGCCCTTTTTTTCCCATGGCCACTGGGCATCTGAGACGTGATTCGAGCTTCTAGACCGGGAGCACGAACTGGCTGGTGCGAGAGATGCAGGGAAGGAGAAATGGAATGACCCCTGTAAACCAACCGTCGATCCTATGGTTTCCTTTAAGGGAATCCCCTTCTGGTTCATTTTTCCCATCCCTGGGTCGTTTCCTACAAGATAGAATACAACCGAGTTTGCTAAGTTGAAACGAAGGATCATGCGTCACGTCTCTTGCCTTCGTTTTTGGTTGCTGCATCATACTGGTTGGTGCAAGTGAAGGCCCATGTGAGCCACAATCAAAATAATCACAATCAAAACCCGGGTAGATGACCATAAGCCTTCTTAACTCTTTACATGGTTCTGGGTAGACCATGTTGGTACCAGCTTTTGATTATGACTCATGTTTGAATATTACCTTAGGTGTTGGGAGCTTTCACCAGTGAACTTGCAGGCAGTTTGTTTTTCCCTAGTGGCTGCCTTGACCGGCTGCCTTGACGGGTATAACTGGTTTCGCCAGGCGAGTTCTACAACTTTGGCTGCCTAAATATGCTAAATCAACAGGCTGGGCTATTTGGGCGGAATGGTTGTCTTCGGAACAACCTAGTTTCCTTCCTTCTATGGATTCTTACTATATATTCCCCTGACATTGCTCTCTTTTCCAGGTCTCCAATGCACGAAGGCATCGCACGAGAAGCACTTGCCAAATGGGGTCACTTGCCCAACGGTTTTTTCCTCGGCTATGGTAGGGGAACATGCGACATGTGTAAGCCATTCAACGACAACAAAGACGACAGCACCCAACCGAAATTGGGATTCATCCTTGAGTGAGGTAAAGGCCTCTCGACCAAAACAAATCCCTGCATTTGACAAGCCAAGCACCATTTGCACAAATCCGGTCTCTGGTGAATTGCCTATTGCTGAAAACCGGTATGTTTGCCCTGCCAAGGGACACTGTCCCAGAATCAGAAGTTTGGATGCTGAATTCAGGAATCTCCCTTGCCGAAGAATCTTAGATGTTGCGAAAAGAGTCACTTCGATGTCGGCGCTTGGTTTAGGGCAACTCTACACGTTTATCCTTGATTCAGGGCCTTTGGTATGCTTCCCCGATATGACCAAACAAATCCCAAGGCATGTCCAGGTCGTTGCAATGCCATGTGTTTGTTTCTTCCACAAATAAAGGAACACGCCATTTGTTTGGTAACCCTTAGTTGGCGGTTTGGATTGGTTTGGGATTCAAACGGGTCCTTGGTTCTCGAGGGATGCGAAACCACCCCAAACCACCAATCTCCAAACCACCCGGCAATGATGGTGTTCTGATATACCGCATACCGTTCCATGTGCTTTTTCGCCCCCCCCCCCCCCCCGGAAGAAAATGAGGACATGCTCCAAACCACCCAGCCAGAGCTGAATTTGCGGAAGCCTGGCGCTCGCCTGGCGTGTGCGTCAGGTCCGCTTTGAGCTGGCGTGGTCGGTGGAGTTCCATGCCCGGCACCCCAGATCGAAGACTTGGCGCTGGAGTTTTCCACTTTTGTCTGGGGGGCCAAACCACGTGCCCCTGGGCAGGTGCCCCTGGCATCCCCCTGGAAAAGATGGCTGTGTACCATGTATGTACCCATAGTGTATTTAAGCTTCTGTAGTATTTTGCAGGGGCACCTACCCAGGGGTTCACCTTGGAATTTGTGCTTGGCAGGCTCGGTGTGGACATGTCTATGTCTTGTGGCTTATGTAGTGGAGGGAATCTTCTCTTCCCGTCTCGGTGCGAAATGGATGTCTCCTTGCACAGTTGATCAATTTTCTGGTGTCCACTAAAACGATCGCCACTTTTGGAGGTTCCGGAAAGGGACATGGAGGAAAGCCAGTTACGGATCACTGGACTTGCTTGCAAGGGCGGGTTCGATCCAACATTATGCTCGTCATATTCCTCTTCAGTCGCCATGATTCTTATGAACACACATGCAAAGCACGTCGCGGCTGATCTAGACAGTAGACAGACAAACGACTTGCCCCAGATGTTGCAGAAAGTTGCTTGCAGCGAAGCAGAGAAGCAGCGCATATTTTCTTGCACGATTTTAGTCAAACCCGCATATCCGCACGACCTCATCAAACAGGTTGTCCGACCCGGTCCATAGTTTCTTGTCAGACAAGAAGGACCGGCACATCAACAGCCAAATGATTAGTTTCCTTTCAGTTGGTTTCCTTTGGTTTCTTTTGGAAACACCCAAAAAGGTGTCCTGGGTTGGACACATGTTTAATAGTTGTTTGCCGTTACAAGCTCAGCTTCCATTTGTTTAGAGGCAGTACGTTGGTGTGTGGATTCATATCATTTGTCCAGCCAGCCTGTGGTCTGAGGATGAGAGCACGGCAAGCACAGATAAATTGCATGTGCAATGGTCAAACCGCCCTTTTTGTCGCGGGGTTACTAGGGATGGATCCTTTTTTGCTAGGTTGCTTTGTGTTTTATAAGTAGGGCTGGGTTGGTTGGTCATGGGATGGTCATGGACCATTTCGACAGCGATGATATGAGCTTCTGGGACCTACTGGCCGGGACACTGGTGTTCCCGACTTGCATCCCCGGTACCCGATTCTTCAGCAACATCACCAATACCTTGTTAGTCACAGAACTCACAGAGAGCCAAGGCGTCTCTAGAATCTAGACAGCATGTTTCCGCCAATTCCGTCCATTCGTCCATTTGGGGGCTTCCTACAATAGGGGGCCACGGTTCATGCTTACTTTTCTGCTGGCCTTGCTTGAACAAATCCATTCATCCAACCCCCCCAAATCAGGTTTGTTGCGCCTCAAATCGGCTCGGCACCTCGAATCGAAGCGGGAGCTTCCTTTGTGCTGCCTGCTGGGGTGCTTCCTACGAAAGCGTCGACTTCCTTTGCCGTCCCTCGAACGCTTATCCAAAAGGGAGTCACCCTATTCAAGAAGGCCCCCAATTGGTGGGGGATCTGAAAGATCTGGACACAGCGGTAAGACCTTACCATGAGCAAAATGGGTGCATTCAAATCCACGCTACCACGATGTTGAGCAGGTGAGTTCCCCCTCGCCCAAGGGATCCATTTGGAGGGCTCCAAAACCCGGCCCCGTTTTTCTTGGTGGCTCCCACCCATCCCCGTAGCTTTTTGGCCTTTTAGTGTTGGTGGTTTCCATTTAACCCACTAAAAGTTAGTCACTTTTAGCGAGGGATCTGAAACCGGGCCCATTTTTGGGCTCGGCGCCGGGCGCCGAGCCGCTCGCGCGCCGCGCGAGCCGAGGAGCGGGGGCTGCAGAAGCTGAAGGACTACTACCTGCAACAGGTGGACTTCGAGCGCGTCGAGGCCGGGCGGCCGTCGAAGCGAGGGGTCGAGGCGAGGGGCCGAAGGGGCGGGTGGAGCTCCGAGGTCCCGTGGGGCCGGCTGGCGGGCTGGCGGGCTGGCTCGCTCCGGTCTTTTTCCGCTTTTGCTTAAGAAGACGTCCGAAGTTTTCCCTTCTCTGGTTTTACGTGGAAGCGATTTCACGATTGGACAAATATGTGTTATGTTTGTGTTTTCGAGGGGGCTTCAGCAAATGGACGTCTTGTTGTGGAGTTGGTGCCCCCTTTTTTGGGGGTTTCAAAGGGAAGCCAAAAGGAAAACCACCATTATTTTGAGGGGTCCCCTAAAAAGCAGACACATCCATAGGGCTCCTTTTTGGTTGTTTCTGAGACCCTGTGGCTGGTTCCTTTTGGTTTCCCATTGTGACTCACATGCGGTATATATATATATATATATTTGGAGGCTCGGTCCTTGTTTTTTGTGCTGTTCCACTTCCTTGCGAAATGCCGTTTCTTACGCCAGAAAAGAGGTCCGTTGCCAGTCATCCGCACCCAAAAAAGGGCTTGTTCCTTCCAGACAAGTGCATTCAGGGGCTCCAAGCGGAAGCCAGTTAGACGTCTTGTAGACCTGTGCCTTCTGCGTCTCGCCGGATCCGCAAGCAGCTGCCAGCCGGCGGTGTTTGAGGTCCTGGGCTTCCGCTCGGAGCACCGGGTCTCGAGCTTCCGCTGCGCCAAGATGTCCAACGAGCTGCAGGCGAACCTCGCCAGGCGAGAGCGAGTCGACCGATGGTCCGATCGCCCGCTTGGGCACGGATGTGGGTCGGAAGAATAGAGCCATGTGGAATGATTCATGGGGTAGATTGGGCTTTTGCTTTTGACGGGCAAAGGGAAGAAAACACGGTGGGCCCTGCGCAAGTTGGCCATGTTTCGGTTGGGCGGACCCCTGTTTCCATTTACTTTGCCGCTCCCACAATCCAGAACAGGTCTTGGGGGCTGGGGCCCATGTTTCAACGTTGATTTGTGTTGATCTTCCGTACGCGAAACCTCTAAACCTTTGGGGGGGGGGGAGATGAGAACTGAAGGGCAATCAGTTGTGCGTTGGGCTTGAAAGTTATTGAGTTGTATTTGTGTGCACTATGTTGTACTATTCCTTACTCGGATGCATGCAGGCCAACCTTTCTTTTTGCAGGCTGCATGAGCTCATCTTTGCTGCAGATGCGGACAATGACCTCGAGGACGGCCGTCGCGCTTGTGGGCAAGCTTGCTGCTGAACCGCTGTCGCCTTGATAGACAGCGTTGCGATCATATCAACGTACAGGCCATGATCATTCAGGGGGAAGGCCGCAAACATAGCTGGTGGACATTGGACATCCCAGTGTCCACGCAAAAACCTTGCCCATATCGCTTGGTGTTTTGTTGTGGACAGAGTCTGGGGTCTTGTTAACGCAATTAATTTAATTTGGGGCAATCGTGTCGGGCCCGTCTTTTACCTCCAAGATCTTTGGACTGGGCAGCAACTGTCACCAAGGCGCTTCTCGATTGGTTGTTGAGGCTTTAAAGTGGATTCCTGGGGAGAGGCCTTAAACTTCGCTCGCAGAGCGGCGGCGCTTGCCCTTTGGTCACTGGAATTCGCAGCAGAGCGTGAGGGCCTACGCAGACGCGGGCTTGCCAAGCCGGTGCATTTGCGTTGCTGAGAACAGGTACAGTAAGAGTTAGCGAGCATGTGTTAAAAATTATCATGGCTACTAAACGCGTGTCCGACCAACTCGGCAAGGGCTCGGCGAGCGCGACCTGAACCAGCACAAGCTTGGCGCTGACTCCGCTGGCTACATGGTCGTAGCTCGAGCTTCCCACGCCCCCGTAGACTCAAGTAGCGGCGGGTTCAGAAGCCCAACAGGCCTTTCCTCGAAAAGCAAATCAGACTTCGGCGTGAAATTCTTTTGAACTTCTGACTGCTAAGTCAAACAAATTGTGTGCTCTGACTGTTTTAGGCTGATGCAGCTCGTTGGAAGCAGTAAATTGCGAAAGTGCTGCTAGTTCTCTTGATTTGGGCGCTGCCGCAGGTTGAGCAGTTCTGTAACATTGACCCAACGACTCCGTCCGCTGCTTGGCGCAACGATGGGTCTTCATACCCCGAAACAGGGTTTGCGTGTGACAGGGCTGCGGTCGAGATCTGTGCTCGGACTTGCGCAGTTCGAGAGCTTGCGTTCGTGCGCAAAGAAAAATCACAACTGATCCGGCTAAGAGCGCAGCTGCCAGCTGCGACTTTGCGGAGATTGGGTTGGTCAATGGCGGCGTGAGGCTTGCCCCTGCCACGCTTACGCTTGTTCACCGGTCCTGATGCTGCTTGCGCAGCGCCCTTTTCTGCTTGCAGAATTGTGCTTGACGCAGCCCTTTGCCATGGTAGGAGCCGCATGAGAAAAGGCAGCAAGCGACAATGTTGTTCAAAGGCCCGATGGGATTGACTGCAGCATTCCTTGTGGTGCAACCACAACCAAAATGACGCCATCGAGCCCCACACCAGCGGCACACCACCAACAACGGCAGATGAGGGGGCCTCCGTTCTGCAACGCACACTTTTGCCAGTTCGTGATCCCCTATATTGTTGACTGAAATATATTGAACCTCCGTTGGCCCTACACCCTCCAGCCCCCACTGCGGAACCAACTCATGTTGACCCCATATTAATCAACCCCTGTTTATTAATAGGGGGTGTTGCTGGGTTTCGTGGGGGCGATCATCACTTTTTGGAGGCGCCCCCACCCCGCTATTAATTGAAGTGGGGTTGATTAACTGGGGGTCAGCAACGGGTTTTCTTGCATGTGACAATTTTGGGTTCTATCGCAAACCTAGTTGGCACCATGCTCGCAGTTTTTCAGTGGCACCAATTATGTTCCCTTTTTTGGTGGCTGCTCACTAAAAATGGTCTTCCCAAAAAGGGTTCCCTTTTTTCCAGGGTCACTGACAGAACAACTGAGTGCAAGATCAATCACGCTTGAAACAGGACGACGAGGAAGAGCATGAGCTCGGCCTCGACGGCAAGTCCACATTCCGAGGCCGGCTACGAGGGGTTGCTGCTGGTCGAAAAGCTCATATGGCTTTGATTCCCTTTTTTGTGGCTGGTAAGGGAAGCCAATAGGAAAACCCCTCATTTGCTGGGTGGGGGGATTTCTAAGGAGTTCATCCAAAGCCAGAGCCTTTTTCGGTTTGTTGTTCCAATTAGTTTCCCTCAGAACAAGATCAACTAACAACACATCTGCTTGTCCTTTCATGACCACTGAGCAATTAGCCGGTGCAGTGATGTCCTTGATGTCTTTGTTAGGATACACTTGGTTCATCGTCTTGACTGTTTATCGACCAGTTCAATCAGAGAGACACGTTGCGTTCGGGCAGCGGGAGTGTTGAGATCCACTTTCCTGGGTAGGCAACACACAAGGATGCTTGATCTTTGAAAAGGGTATGATGTCAACCAGTCTCCAGCAGCGTTTTACTCAGTGCAAGCTCGGTCAACGCAACGGAGCGACGGCAGTCCCTCCTGTAGTTCAAACTGCTCCTGATTGCTTGGGACTGCATGTGCTTAGCTGTAGCCCTCGGTATAGCAAGACTCATTGACTTCAGGCATGGGTTGCGCAGAGCCGAAGTATCATTTTGCAACGTCGCATCACGCGGTAAACAAGTAAATGAAGGTCACGCGCGCGAGCTCTGCCCCCTGAAGTTTGTGGACCGTGTCCACGTAGCCGGGTCTGAGCGGGTAGAATGTGACCCGGCCTTCAGAGACGTCATCTGTTGTGACCGGGTAGACGCACAGCGTCTGTCCAGTCTCTGCTGTCACGACGACCGCCTGCTTGCATCAAACAAGGCAATGAACAGCCAATCGCCAATTGAGCAGGAAAAAACATCGGGGACGAAATAACTCCATGCATCCCTCCACATGTCCACCACCAATTTGAACCACTTGCTCATCGTGAATGTGACATGGCATTTTGAGCAGTGGGAGCTTGCCAACATGAGCACAAAGCTTGCCAACTGCTGGCATAGCGGTTTCGAGAGAACTTGTCAAAGACACGTATCAGGATTTCGTTTGCTTGCTGACATCAACTGCAAGCTAATCATGGCAAATGTGACACCTATCAAATTTGATTGATAGACAATTCGAGACGGCAGTTCGCCCAGGGGTCATGCACGTACAAAAAAGAAAAGAAAAAGAAGCAAACAGAAGAAGAAGCAAACACTTGGTAGCCTAATGTTTGAATTTTGGGAAACCAGTGCTGCGTCACTCTCTGGAAAAAAATCGCAAGACCTGCCTGGCGGAAGCTCAGCTGAACATCTCAAGTTTTAAGTCCTAGGTGAATGGAGGCCCGAGTCAACCTGATTAAGCTTTCGTGCAATGCTCGCTGCACATGTTAGGCCGCTTCTAGAATGCTTGTATGCTTTGAGCCCTTCTGAGTCACAACCCCCACGTTTGAGAAAGCCGCATGCTGGCAACAACATGGAGTTGAAGGGAGAAGCCCTGATGCTCTGAACTGTTTTCATGTGAATTGCAGGTGACCTGTTTGAGGAATTCAACCTTAGGGCCTCAACCAAACCAATGGCTTCTCTGTGCATCAATTGCCAGGCAACAGAACAGACTTCGGCATGGAGAGCGAAGGAGGCTGGGGTGAAGTGCTCGGGACGAATGGCAGCTCCAATGACCTGCCAAAAGGCGGTTTAAAACCCCCTCGAGAACTCTATGGTTTGGCAGTCGTTCATTTTGAGGGAGGACTCTTGGTGTCTCACCAACCTAAAAAAATCGGGTGAAGTCGATGAATCCTGTTCACCCACTAGGTACCATGGGTGCCAAGTGATTTGCAAGAAGTCCATGTGAGGCGCGATTTTCGCAAGGCTCTCAGGCGAGTCTGGCCCAAAACAACCGCGACCGCTTCCTTGTCTCCATGAAAATTCTTATAACTCATCCTAGGTTGCAAGTGATCCGATTTGATTCGGCGTTATAGCATGAGAGCACCGACGTGGACACAACAAAGGCTTAGATCAACTTAAAAGTCAATCCAGAACATTACGTCTCAACTGTTTGCAAGCTTTGGGCAAGATCTTTCACATCATTCCTAGTCCTAATGCTTATAGTTGGTAGAGCATACACGAGTTTTCGACCTTGTTTTTACATGGTGAAGCCTCCTTGCTCTGGCTTGCTGGAAGCAGTGGTTGGAGCTGGCGAGTTGAGTACCTTTCAATCGTTGGAGGTTCCAAGGAAATGGGGGGGCATTTTTTGGCGGCAGCTCCTTTTGATTGGTGTTTAAAGGAAAACACGAAGCCGGCCTTGTTGCTGGTCGGCTGAATTGAAACAGACCCAACTCCAAAGCCGGCCTTTCCACTTTGTTGTGTTCAAGTGTTGATCTAATGGTGCTCTTGCAAGGTGATCATGTTTTACTTGCAGGTTTTTTGGTGGTTGGTCCTGGCGAAGCCATTGCAACAGACTCCGCATATGTCCCTTTAAAGGGCACACTTGCCAAAGCCGCATGAAGCTCTACTATTAAATAGGTGATACTTCCCGGGAGTAAACGTACCCGAAAGGGTTTTAAAAACGCATCCTCCCAAAAAAAGAGTACTTCAAACATGGCTGTTTGTTGGGCTCCAGTCTGCCGGAGAGTTGCTGAAATCTAAAGACCGGCTTTGGGTGGCTAGGGATGGTCACGAATCCTGCAAAGAGCGCTTAGATAGTCGGAAGTGCTCGAAGTCCTGGAAACGATTTGACCAAACAAAAACAAAAACAGAGATCGGTGTGTTATTGTAACAGCGTAGCAGCATAATGCGGCACGGTCTGCCTCCACACTGCTGTTTATTTAAGTTTCCCTTTGCCAGGGGCTGAATCTTCTACCTTGTGCCGGGATTTCTGAAGCAACCCTAGGTGTTGCCGGCGTCCGTGCATCATATGTATATACACTAGAAAGAGTCACACATCACATAAACACAAACTAACACACACACACACACAAAAAAATAGTTCTTCCTGCAGGCAAGTCTGAACGAGCCCTCTCAGGCTGGGGTTCCTGGCCTTTTGTCATGTGTTGCTGGCCTTTATCCACTTGCTAAAGGGACCTATCTGAGGAATCTTGCAGGAGTTTGGACAACTGACCACCGCAGCAGGGAAAAAAGCAACTACGTTTTCCACAAGCAGTTTTGCTCAATTAAACCTTTTGGGGGGAAGATGGGCCACTTGCACTTGTTCAATGATTTGTCCAATAAAGTTTCCTCCGGTCGAGCAGCCCTATATAGCCTTCTTTCTTAGGCCGGAATTAAGTGCAATCATCGCCGGTGCCAAACTACCTGCCTTGCTGATGATCATGGTCCTCATGCATTTCCTCGGTTCGATTTCTGAGCAATCAAGTCATCCGAAGGGTTTATATATTGACTTCAGCTGCAATTGTTTTATGCATTTATTCACCGGTCAATGCTTGGATTGCGGAGACAAGCTTGTTTTTGCAGGTCCTTTCAGAACATGAGGTAGTTGTCCTGGGAACCAGTGCTGCTATCAGCTGATCCGAAGAGACCGTGTTTCCAACAACTGGCAGTCTTGTAGATGGAAGAAAACCTGCACCACCTCAGAACCCCTGGACTGATGATTCCCTAGTGCCAACAATCGTTGTGGTGTCAACCATGGTTTCAAAGTGGTGCGAACGGATTCGTCCATCAACAGTATGAAGGCTATTTCTTGGATGCTGCCAAAGATGGCCTTCGGGAAGCAACCCAGTCCTTGCATCGGTCGCACACAGGAACTTGTTCACAGCGGGAGCTGTCTTGGATAGTCTAAGACAGATGTACACCATGCATTTTATTTCTTCATTGGCTGGTGGCCTGACCAGAGCAACGCATATCACGTGTGTTCAGATGCTTTGAAAAACTCCTATGCTCATATGGTAGGTTTTTACATGAGGGCAGTTGAACGTGTAGGAACTCGTGGCCTGCTCAGTCCTTTATGTTTTATGATGCAGCGTCACAGGTCGCATGTGGCCTGTGATATGAGATAGGCAAGGCACTGTCCCCGCTTTGCACAGAGTGGAGGCCGAGTAGCATTGCTCTTGGCAAATTGCGTGGCCGATCTAGTTGTGTAGGCGAGGTTTTGCTGGCCTTCATGATAGTAAGATTAATGATATCTACTGTTTGTCTTAACGTCAGCTCTTATATTGGTTATAACACCACAAAGCCGCGTTCTTTCATGTTCTTCCGCCTGGTATGGTTCCTTGGATTTGACTTGGCCATTCCCTCGTTCGCTCCGACTGGAGAACACTTTGCGTGCTTCTGTTGGTTGGCTACAATTGCGAATACATGCTAGAATGAGATTTAACCAGGAAATTGAGGTCTTGAAAGGAGAACAACAATCAAGCTCTCACGCACGCAAAGCATTTCGCGGATTCCGTTGATTCTCTGCTCTTGTTCGCCTTTCTTTGACTCCACCCGGAGGTGCCGAGCAGCGGGAGCTACGAAGGCAGCAAAGGCCCGGCGGGGGGAATCGGGGTGCTTCGGCTCGAGGGGTTGTCAACGTCATCCACCTTGCATTGCGATTGAGGCGGCACTTGATGCGCGTCTGTTTTCCTTCCCCCTTGAATTTTTGTTTGCGTTTTCGGGCATGAGATTCCGCGACCTCCGGCCCCCTTCAAAGACCAGCTGACCGCTTGGCGCACGAGGGCAAAAGGTTGTACCCCTCAAATTGGCCCCTCAAAACCTGGAGCCCTAGCGGCCCGGCAACCCCGGCAACCCTGTTTGCCGATATCGAAGACACACAGGCTATGACATGGTGTACATATATATATATATATCTATATGTACACATACATGCACGTCAGATTTGAAAGTGCCGACTAGCATTGAGTCCACTTGCTGTGGCACTTCCAAGGTGTCCAGAACTTCTGCCGACACTTTCCAGCAACGGCCATGGTGAATGCGGGTGATGCAAGTCATCAGAGATCGGTTCAAAGGCAGCTTTTCTTCCCTGGAATTGAGACCACTCCCGACAGTTGCTTGGAACGCGGCATAACCAATGAAGATGATCAACACTGGGACAATGGCACTCGTCCCAAAGTAAGTTAAACTGCTCTGCCATCGGACAAGTCGTTTGACTTGTCATGGTTCGCTGCAGCAAATCAGTTCTTTCCCTTTATGTGCACGCTATGTTGAGCATTTGTTCGAGCTCGAGGACATCACGCTTCTTGATGGTGAAAACCAATGCTTGGCTAATAGCTGCGGTGAACCATTTGCAATGTGGACACTTTGGCAAAGTGAAACACATCTAGAGTCAAGTGCATCTTAGATATGCTGGAGTTGGCTTTGCCATAACAAAGAAACAGCAACGATCCAGAAGAAACAACAACGATCCAGACTGAGCTTTGGGAGGCTGATTTTGCGAGAGTACACTTTTTGACGAGCCGTCAAGGACAGAACAGATGGCCATGTTATAAAATTATTGATGCGCCCATGCTGTCCAGAGTTTTGGACCCTTCAGACACTGAGATTGAGCCTTAGCAGAATGGTGTGAAGCTTGCCAACAGCGCCAGAGAGACTTGCCGAGGTTGAGGGGTTTTAGGGGCTGCTGGGCAGTTTACATGTTTGGTCTCTTTGTGCCAGCATGTGTGTGTGTGTGTGTGTGCGTGTCCGGGTGCCCAGTTAACAGAAGGCATGGGAGCAGATTTCTTTACGATATGATAATGGTTGCAGAGCTGCAGTCTGGGAGTGAAAGGACTTCAGCCTTGACCTGAGCACGGTTTTGGATTCTTTGTCATATCTTATTCATGAGGGGTCACTACACATCCGGTCGAAAAAGAAAAACAACAACAAAAAAAAACAACCTTTCACGGTCTCCCCTGTTCGGTTTGACGCATTTTCACGCTTGCTTGTCTTGAACCCATGTTGGTTGCCGGTATCCACCGTGGCTCCGTGGTTGAAGGAACCAGGGCTTGAGTTGTGTCACGCCCATGGCTTCAAGCCAGGGATCAAAAGGGTCTTTGCAAAGGGTTGCCTTGGTGGTTCCCAGCCATTCCCATTTTTTCGTTTGTTTGTTTGGGTTTCAGTGAGGGCGTCCATTGAACCCACAAAAATATACATCTTTAGCAAGGCATCTGAAGACTGTATTCGGTGACCATTGGTGTTGGAGTTCGCGAAAGATCGGGTGAGTTTGTTTGTTTGCGAATGATTTGCGTTGGGTTCTTGGAGGTATGCCTGTGCACTTACATTCATGAAAACTGGGGGGGAGGGAGGGGAGGGGGAGGGAGCCCAAATAAGCCCTCCCCCTCCCCCTCCCGCCCTGCCCCCAGGATACATATTTGCAGAGCCCCACCCGTTGCAATTAGACAGGGACATGTGCAGCAGCTTGACTTGCATTGACTTGGTGCCTTTGCCGCGAATGGTGCGGGCTATCTTGGGAGCAAGCTGCGCAGAAGATCCGTGAACCGGCGAAAGCGCATGGGGCTTGTTGCGAGGTTCCGCAGGTGAGAAGGACGGAGCAGTCCCAAGCCTATTTTGTTGCCAGTGGAATTGACTAGGTCCCCCCAGCTAGGTGCCCCTTTTCACCCCCTTTTTTGGGAGGAAGCCCCCTACCAGCCCCCTACTAAGATAGACATAAACAAGTTGGTACCAGCTTATTCTGCCTCTCTTCCAACGAGGACCTAGTTGAGCTGCTCAACGAGCATCGACCCCCTCCGCCTTGCGATGCCCTGCGGCTTCGCTTCGCCAGGATGGCGCGGCGCGGTCAGATGCAGGAGCTCGAGCGGGGGAAGCCCTCGGAGTCCTATGAGGCCCGTTTCCCGCCGGTCCGTTTCGGGGCGACCCCGTGGCGAGCTGTCGGTGGCAACAAGGGCGGGGCGGTCGATTCGCAGGGTGTGTCAGAGGAGGTTTTTTTTTACTTATAGCTTGGACCCTGGCCCCAAACACGAACTGTCACCACAATTTGGAACACCATCTAAGTGGTGGTTGATCTGAATTTCCATCATCCGCTGTTAGTGGGTGGGGGCAGGGTCCAACTTATAACCGTACCTCTTGTGGGTTATTTCACCAGGCTTACGATCATCACTTACCTGAGAATAGCGAATGGATCGCCCCTGTAAGGGCCTGACATGATGAGCTGTTTGGATGACATGCGTGGCACGTTTGAATTGCAACCTCCATTTGCTGGAATGTTGTTTTTTCATTTTCCCGTGTTGTTTTTAAAGGGACCCTATCACTGCTGGAATATCTTTATTCTTTCTAGGGGGCTCAAGCAACTGGAAGACAAGCTTCGCAAGTGTTTGCTTCATGTTGTGTCTTGCAAGTGGGGAAATCTGTGCTATGTGCTTGTTCTTGGCAGGCCAGGCTGGTCAGGCTCCATGTTGACCAGCGATTCTCACTTGGTGAAACTTCGATTGTCTTCATTGGTTGGGATACCCGTCCAGTTCCGGGTGACAACAGCATCTACTGCGCTTGTATTTCGATGTACACCAAAAGGACAACAACCATTTTGGGTCCCCTAAAAAGAGACGGGGGATGTCGTTGCACATCTCTTTCCGCTCCTTGAATGGGTTAGTTAGTACAGCTTGCACGGGAACTCTGTGTTTGTTGTTAAAGATCTTATCCTTGCAAGGTTGTTGCACTCCCATCCTGAAACACAGAAGATATTCTCAGGTCCATGAAGGAATATGTTCACACATCAGCAACACATCATATTTGTTGAATGCCACTCAGTGAATCAATACATTCCTTGTTCACCATGTGTCCCTGAATTCCAAGCTTCCCACGAGACAAAACCCCTATGTGTATCACAGATTTCACCTAGATGTTTTGCACGCGGTTTAACACGTTGCCCTGACTACTTCCATCTGCTCAAGAATACTTGATTTTTGCTGTTGGCTTTTACGGGAGTTGATCACTACTGGACATGTTTGACATTGTTGTTGGTTTGGTTTTTAAGTGAGTTTATCACTACTGGACATGTCTTATCCTTTTTTTAAGGGAACTTCTGAAAATGGAGGTACCGCGTAGCCCTGACGACCTTTCCCGTTTCAAGCGCGCGGAACGGCTGCAGGCGCCCGAAGATTTAGAGGCCATCGCGCATGCCGAGGACGGACTGGAAGCGCTTCAACTCGCCTAGCCTTTTTTGGTTGGGAGGGGTGCCCCTACTAAAATAGACGTCCAGAAAAAGAAGAAGAAGCAAAACAAAAAGCAAAACAAGAAGTACCAGTACCAACCTATTCTGACCTCTCTACTGCAGGACCTAGATATGTTCCGTTTACTTATTCTTACTTATTCTAACTTAAAGCAACAGTACCAACTTATTCTAACCTCTCTACTGGACCTAGTAGCAGGGATGCAGGGGGAGCCAGGGATGCAGGAGGATTCTTTTCAAGGGGCACCTGAGTTTGATATGGGAAATGGCGCCAAGGGAATCCCCCCACATCCCCGCTAGCCACATCCGCTTGTTCGTTTGTCCAACTAGATCGAGGGGATTGGATTTGATGAGGCAAGGTTTTTCATGTCAGAGGTCTCAGAGGTCACCATCAAATGGATAGGTGTTCCACGTTCCAGACCAGCGGCCTGGAAAGCTAGGCATGACAGGACCGTTTTCGTTTTGATGCGCACAACTAATTTTTCAACATTTCCGTGAGAGAGTCGGAAATCAATCCTCGTGATTTTGCTTGCTAGGGGCGGGGAAGCTTGAACTATGAAGCAAGTCTATGGTTCAATCGTTTGTATCTGGCATCCGCTATTGAGAAGTCAAATTTAGCAAAAAATGATGTGTGATTTGCCGATGTGTTGCATCCCGCCAATATGGCCGAAACACAGGACTCGGTCGTTGGTTGCTACATTTTTGTTCAATCGCAAACAGACCTCAAATCGCTCCATTCCGCTGAAGTTTGACGGAGAATATAATACTTTATATGGCCATTTAGCAAGGGATCTTTGGGCTTCAACACTTGGTTGAAACGGGCAACGGATTTTCCGAATTGGGCCCACAAAAAGTGAGACGCTTTTTGGCAGAGAGGTCGTTGTAGCAACCAACTGTATCCACTGGTGCCCTGCCCCCAGGCAATCCGAACATCCGTCAGGCCAGAGAACCCCAGTGGCTTGCTGGTGCGATAGGGGAATGACCTTCCGGGTTTTGGGGAACGAACCGTTTTGGGCTTCCCAAGGAAGCCAAGTCGCATGGATTCCATTTCTCAGGGTCCGAACCAAGACACCTCCCGACCCGGCTCAAGACATGATCGCAAGCCGAGTGGGAAAGGTCACAGTTGAACTTGTCGGGAACCCCGAAAAATTCCGGTTCCTTAGTTGTTTTTGGTAGGTTTTTGGGTTGGTTGAGTGGTAGTTTCCACCAGTGGTTCCTTGCCATGTGGTTCCTTGGTTGCTTTTTCCGCGGTTTCGCGGATTTGGTTGAGTGTTAGTTTCCGCTACTAAAAGTTAAGCAGTGTTAGCAGGGGATCTGGAACCGCCCAGCGCTCCCATTTTGCCACATTCCAACTCCGAAGGTCCAAGATGCGAGGTTTATCTCGAGTAGGCTGAATGCAAGGGGACAATCTTCAAACCCGTTAAGAACAATGGCTACCATCCCTGAACCGCACCAGGCCATGAGTCAGGGGCATTCCTTTTTCCACTCACTTCCTGAGGTCTTCAGCTTTGTACTGTTTGGCAAGACCATTTGTATTTAGTGGCAACCACAAAAGTTCAGACTTGTTTCATGTATTTTAGTGGTAACTCAAAAAGTTCGGACCTGGTTTTGGGCCATCCACAGGCTCGGAAGTGGGTCCGGGCGGGTACCTCCCGGGACCGCGAGGCGACCTTGGGCAACTACATGCTGAAGACCAGCGAGGCCTACCAGGCGAGGGGACCGGGACAGGGGCCGAAGAAGTGAACCAAAATGAGGGGAGAAGAGAGAGGAGAGATTCCTTTTTTTTTTGGGGGGGGGTTAAACATTTGGTGGTTTTAAACGAAATGGTGGCTTCCCCAAATGAAAGATATATGTCGCCTATGGTGGTTTCAGCCATCCCCTTAGCCTTTTAGATCCTTTTAGTCTTTAGTGGTAGTTTCCATGCAACCAACTAAAAGGTATTCACTTTTAGCGGGGGATCAGAAAACGGCCAGCCCAGGAGAGAGGAGAGAGGAGAGCCCTAGATTTCCTTGGTGGTGGTACCGGGGCCATTGAAGGGGAACAAAATGCTCCGGGAGAGGAGAGAGGGGTCCTGGGGTCCCGGGGGTCCCGAGTTATTTCACTCCTGGTTAGTTTTTGTAAGCGCCTGCTTTTTGCCCATTTAAGGTGAGATTCCCTTTATACAGGCGATGTTTTGAGGGGAAATGTAGAGAGCCCTAGAGGGGAGAGAGAAGGGGCCGAGTTCTTCGCAACCTGCCGGCGGATTGATTCGTCCGTGAAAACGGCCATTTGAAGGGTCGGCTGGCTCGCGGCTTCCTGCACGAAACATTGACCCCGATGAGCATCTGCAAAATGGAAACGGAGCCGCCCTCCTGATGTGAACAACTAGAAGAGAATCCTTGCGTCAACATATTTATATATATATATATAATGTATATATGGTTCATATTTTTGCGTACGTCCATCCAAGCATGCATCCATCCGTCCGCCCGTCCGTTCATCCATCCATCCGTCCATGCATGCATACATACGTACATACATGCAGGCAGGCAGATGCGAGAACTGCGGAATAGGAAAGCCCTGTACGTTAGATGGGCTCTTTTGCGTGCGCAAACCGCGCAGAGGTCCACTGGCACGGAAGCGCGCTGAACATCGCGACATAGTTTGTGCAGCACGCAGCGAGGTCCACAGATTTTGTGGCCGACGCATGACTTTCAGGTGCAGTTTGCGTGGCAGGCGCACACTTTTGCAAGGTCAGGCGCAGATTGAGCCGCTGACCTTGCTCTGCTTGCGTGCGTGGCACGCGTGCCGTTTCTGGCCACGCTTTCGCGTCGGCGCGTGCCGGGTCGGGCCGCGTTATCGCCGACAGCTGCACAAACGCAATAAGTCCGGCAAAAGGCGCGCTGCGGCAACTAGAGCCAGATAGACATAGAGAGAGAGGGGGAGAAAAGACAATGGGAGAGAGGGCGAGAGAAAGCGAGAGGGAGTGTGGAAAGGCGGGAAAATAATATTCAAACTCTGTGTTTGAGGCATCTGCAAGTTCAGAGATGCACTAGATACATGAACGCCTGGCACAACTTCCAAAAGAATCTGATAGGATAACTACAGCAGACTCAATTCGCAAACCACATGGACTCACAAAGCAATGCCCCGGTCAGATCGTCCGTTGCTTGCACATGGCTGAGTGTAGATGCAGTTTCTGAGTGGTTCTCACCGGAATGTCCACCATGCCCATGTTGGTTGCAGAATTGGTTGTGTACTTCTCGAGGTTTGGTAACTTTTGTGAAAATCATTGTTGCACCTGTTTTTGAACTAGCGTCCAACTCGTAGAGCTGATTTCACAATGCTCATCTATGAATCCATGAATCGCCATGCAAAGAAGAATCTGCTTTGCTCATTGCTGCTTGTTTTGGTAGACAATGCGTGCATCGACAGATTGATTGCACTTTTCTAAGTGTCTTGTTTGTTTTCTGTTGTCTCGTCATATTTCAAGGGTGAATTCAAACCACTACTGGACGCAGGCATGCATACGGTGATTAGGCAGTACAGCCTAGATGCATGGATCACTTGCTCACTAGGTGCGGTTTTCAGGTCTATAACACATGACAAACCATTTCATTACAGTGCTGTGCCTTGCGCAATCTTTCCTTTTCTGAATTTCCGACACACTCAAGTCACTCTCAAGTGGCGGACCTCAGAAGGAGGCTGTCTCCTTGCTACCTTATTCTTCCTTGCAACAACCACCAACAGGGCCCGTTTATGTTTCTCCATGCACAAAAAGTATGAGGCACTGAGCGCGCCACTATTCCAGGTGCCGGAGAATCAGCGCATGAATGCCGAGAAGAAGAGGAGGCAGATGTTCCTCTTGGAGGCCCGCGGAGTTGGAGCGGCGCCTGTTGACTTGGGGAATATGGCCATGGGTCAAAACCCAAGTCGGTTAGCCCCCGGTGAACATCCGATTCAATCCAACTACTAAAATAGGAAGCCTAAAATGGGGGGTGCACCTATGCCAAAATGGTACCATTGGTTTTGAACCTTGGCCATATGTTAAAACTAGACCTCCCTAACAAATGCTTGATGTCATGTTGGCATGTTGAGTGAGATACTGCACACGGGAACCCAGTTGCTACATCCCCTCGTAGCGAACCTGAGACTTTGCTGTTGTATTTGCTCAAGGAGTTCGATCTGAGGTAGCATAGTCACTGCCCACGGAGACGTGACTTGGAACGCCAGCCGGTGGCGTGTATGGTATGTACGCTTGACCCATGCATTGTCGCTTTTGTTGGTTATTTGGCTCAAGCTCATCAGTATCTTGCAACCACAAAGCCCAGTAGGCGTGCATACCAGCACCACAACCTATGCTGTGATGCCCATGTTTGTTTAAAAGCGTGTTTTTCAAGTGTGAATGCATGCTCGCATCTATACTCAAATCATCTATGGGGAGCCACGTGTCTCGCTTCAAGCAACCAGTAAAGTAGCGTGTAGATTATAATGTTGTTGAAAGTTGGAGTTGGCACAAAACATTAGCTCAAGGAAGCAGCGACCGCAGTTCTTCCATGGCACTCAGCGGCTACCCACGACAAGAATTTGGGGGGCCTCGCTCGAGAGCGAGTCGCGTGCCATTCATGGGGTTTCCCGACATGCAGGGGGAGCGTACCTCCGAGCGGACTTGGAATCGGTGGACGAGTCGCCCGAAGTCGTCAGAGCTGAGCTCGGCCGCCCGCTGGCTCGACGAGTCGAGCTCCGCCCCGGCGGCGACGGCGACGGCACCGGCGGAGTCGGCGGAGTCTGCGGTGGGCTTGCTGCAAGCGTTGAAGTCGCTGAACCTCGGGGAGGCAGTGGGAAAGTTTCAGGCGCTCGGGGTGCAGGAGTTGTTTGAGGTCCAGGAGTTGGAGATCCAGGATTGGCAAAGATGCATTGCCTTGGAGTCATGTTGGTCTTTTGTTGAGTTTGAGTGAGATTTGAGGGTCTTGGGGTTTTTTGTTCCTTCAAAGCTAGATGGGTCTGGCTGCTCAGCTTCCAAGTTCACTCACCCTGAGGATCTGGAAGAGATCGGGCTCACAAGGTTGCAAGCACGTCGACTGCGGGCGCTGGCGGCTCAAGATGAGGCGCCAGCTACTGCTGCCGCTGCTGCTGCTGGTAATGCTGGTACTGCTGGAACTGCTGGAACTGCTGGTACTTCTGGTACAGGCACTTACCGCGCCGAAGAACCCATGGCTCCTCCAAAGTATCCACAGAGAGAGCCTGAGATGGAGGCCCGGTGTTGGAAAGAAGCCGGTGTGCTTTGAGCAATCTCTTCATGCGCAGTGGGTTAACATTTCTCTCAAAGACAAGTAACCAATGTTCACGAGGGGTTGAGGGTTTCGACCCACAGCATTCGAACGTACAACAAATTATTACCTGCATTATGATAACAAGTCCTCTCAAAACGAACTCACAATGCAAATCATCCATTGCCTCTCCTGCACTCTTCTTGGCGTTGATTTTTTGGTGTTGTGTGTGATTTTTTGCTTCTTCTCAATCATTTTCAGTAGGGTTCCGCAAAAAGCGAAGTTTGTTGCAACCGTCCCAAGGGTTCCGATGTCTCGTTCCCCTGGCAGGCTCCGCCGCTCCCGCGCTCCGTGGCATACGCGGCCGCGCTGCGACGGCGCTCCTCCTCGCCGGCGGATCGCCGGCGGTCGATGTCTGTGAGCTTTTGCTCTGTGAGCTCCGCGCGCTCCTCGCAGGGCTACGAGTTCGAAGCGAACTGCAGGCGAGGGCGGGCGGCGGGCGGCGAGGGGCCCTTTGGGGCTGGTTCCTCGTTTTTCTGGGAGCCGCACTTTTGGTTGGTTTTAAATGCAAGCCAAAAGAAAACCAACAGTGACGACTGTTGAATATGTGGGGGCCGGGCCAGGGCTTCAGGGCTGGGAGGTAGTTTAAGACATTTGTTTATTTAAATCGGATATTTAAATGGCAACACCGAGACAGACCCCTTCAGCAAACACAGGGCGTAACACAATTCAAGCCCATGCTAGCAGCTGCGTTGCGCTAGCTCCTGCCAAGCCAGGTCAGATTGCACCACAAAGGCCCAACCCAAGGCGCCATGTCGGTGCAACACCGATGCCTGCAATTGCAGACCAGTGCTTTCGTAATTCCATGCTACATAAACTCCTGGAATTGCGGAGCTAAGTGCGCTGAATTGAGCTGCCTAAGCCGTGTCTACGTGGCTCGTGGAGACGACATGAATGCCCCTTGTCTCGGACGGGGCCCCCAGCTTTCCTTGAGTTTTTGAAACTCCTGGAGTCTTGGGACGGGACCTGTTTTTTCAACAAATCCCAGAATAAAAAGAATTGGAAGAAACGAAAAAAAAAGCAAGAGAGAGAGAGAGAGAGGGAGAGAATGCCTGGATCTGGCATTGGGCCCTGTGTCAGACCTGCTTCAGACCTCATTCAGACCCCTGCAAAAGGACCCCACAAAGGTCCAACCGAAGGCGCCATGTCGGTGCAACACCGATGCCTGCAATTGCAGACCAGTGCTTTCGTAATTCCATTCTACATAAACTCCTGGAATTGCGGAGCTAAGTGCGCTGAATTGAGCTGCCTAAGCCGTGTCTACGTGGCTCGTGGAGACGACATGAATGCCCCTTGTCTCGGACGGGGCTCCCAGCTTTCCTTGAGTTTTTGAAACTCCTGGAGTCTTGGGACAGGACCTGTTTTTTCAACAAATCCCAGAATGAAAAGAATTGGAAGAGAAGAAAGAAAAGCAAGAGAGGCAGAGAGAGAGAGAGACAAAATAGAGAGAGAGAGAGATAGAGAGACAGAAAAAGTAGAGAGAGAGAGAGAGAGAGAGATAGAGAGACAGAAAGAGGGAGAGAGAGAGAGAGAGAGAGAGAGAGAGAGAGAGAGAGAGAGAGAGAGAGAGAGAGAGAGCGTGCCTGGATCTGTCATTGGGCCCTGTGTCAGACCTGTTTCAGACCTGTTTCGGACCCCTGCAAAAGGGCCCTCTCATATTCGCAAAATCCTGCCCCGAATCCCTAGCACCAGTATAGCGGTGCAGCGGCTCTTGGAGAAAGAAAGGTTGAAAGATACAAATACACTTTTTCCCGGAGGGAACTCCCAGGTTTCCTGGGATGTCTTTTTTTTCAACAAATCCCTGAACAACAGAATGGTTGCGGAACTACATTTTCTGGGCAACAAACAGCAAGCAAATTGACAAGAACGACTTGGGCCTCCAAATTGAAGGCGTGGGCCCTTCAAAATTTTCAAGTGGGTGAAGCATGATGATGGCTGGTCCGTGGTGTGGTGGCTTCGTGGATTCGCGGAAGCACAGCTGCGTGTAAACTGTAACGCGCGGCTCTGACTTCGCCTTCCTTCGCCTAGCCCGGATGTTCAAGCAGGCGGGCCGGGCCAGAGGCAGGCTTTCAAGACGCAACGCAAAATACCTAAATAAATCGGGTATTTAAATTGGACGGCCGGGCTGGCGGTAACGCTGGCGGAGGTAGTGTAAAATCTTTGTTGACCTATTTAAGTGTCCGGGTGTTTAAGCATGATGTGTCAACAAACGACTTTGGCTCCGAATGAGGGGTCACTCCAGGAATCTGTGTCGGCCCTTTCCGACTTTCATTCAGCCAAACAAGGCTAAAACAAGTCTAAGAAGCCAGAGGCCGCCTGGACCATGGTTTTCTCTCCTTCAATGGGGCCAGCGGTTTGCCAGGGGTCCCGGGTTATTTCCTTTTTGGTGGTAAACATCACCTTCTTTGCCTATTTAAAGTGAGCTTCCCTTTATACAGGCGATGTTTTGAGGGGAAATATAGGGAGCCCATTGACGTTCAACACAGGCGCGAGATCCTGGAGTGGATGGAGGGCTGGGCCTCCGAGATCTCGCCCAAAGCGTTGGGCATCCAGCGCCACGACTGTCACTCGGTGTGAATGATTTTTGTTTGATGGTGTTGACGATATGTGTTCATATTCCCCACATCTTTGTGTGGGGTTCTTACTTTTTCCGCTCGTCGTCCGCGCGCCGCGTCTCCTCCTCCCGCTCGTCTCCGTCTCACTCACTCACTCACTCACTCACTCACTCACTCACTCACTCTCACTCACTCACTTACACTCACTCAACTCACACTCACTCACTCACACTCGCTCACACTCACTCACTCACACTCAGTCACTCACACTCACTCACACTCACTCACTCACACTCAGTCACTCACACTCACTCACACTCACTCACTCACACTCACTCACACTCACTCACTCACTCACTCACGCTCACTCACACTCACTCACTCACACTCACTCATTCACTCTCATTCACTCACTCACTCACTCACTCTCTCACTCACTCACTCACACTCGCTGACTCACGGCAGCTGTCTAGAGGGACAGGATGTTGTCGCGCGCGCGGCGGGGGGTGTGCGAAATCGTGGCAGGCGCAGCACTTTGGCGATGCCGTTGCGAAATCGTGGCAGGCGCAGCACTTTGGCGATGCCGTTGCCGAAGTCGTGGCAGGCGCAGCATTCTGTGCATCTGGGTGTGTGTTTGTGTGGCAGGGGTCGCATTCGGCAGCTGTCTAGAGGGACAGGATGTTGTCGCGCGCGCGGCGGGGGGTGTGCGAAATCGTGGCAGGCGCAGCACTTTGGCGATGCCGTTGCGAAATCGTGGCAGGCGCAGCACTTTGGCGATGCCGTTGCCGAAGTCGTGGCAGGCGCAGCATTCTGTGCATCTGGGTGTGTGTTTGTGTGGCAGGGGTCGCATTCGGCAGCTGTCTAGAGGGACAGGATGTTGTCGCGCGCGCGGCGGGGGGTGTGCGAAATCGTGGCAGGCGCAGCACTTTGGCGATGCCGTTGCGAAATCGTGGCAGGCGCAGCACTTTGGCGATGCCGTTGCCGAA